CATCGCTGCCTACGCCGACGGCCAGAGGCCCGCGCATCTACATTTTTTCGCCTGACCCCATCAGTGCCGACCCAACTACACCACCACGCGCATGCCTCGCGGCGGATATGCGCAGCAGCAAGAAGGTTTCGGTCATCCCTTGAGGGTGAATCTAGCCCTGCTCGCCAGAAAGACCCCCCCCTTCACTACAACCCATGTCTAAGCAAAAGCTTGTCGAGGAGCGAGGGGAAGAAGGGAGAAGTATGGGTCCCCCCAAAAGGATGTCTCAATAACAGAGGTGCAGTACACCTCTGAGGTGCTCTAAAAGTTCACAGACTCCCTTGCCGAGGACACACTTCTCAAATAAGAATGGAGATAACGAACTCCTCACCGCTCATCTGCCCCCGGTTGCGCAGGCATGGTGGCGCACGCCGTCGACCAAATGGAGCGAGGTGAAGGCGAGTCGCCCGGCTTTGGCTTCAAGAGCATGATGTGGTATCACTAACGACCACCCTCAACATGTACCTACGACGTCCCACCAGCTACAACCTGGCGCAGGTCGACTGATGAGCACCGATTGAATGCCGTACCTCGCATTGCCAGCTGGATATCTCACGTCTCCAGCCTTTTCGCTCGTGTCATCTGAACAATATCATAGCTTACAGGCCCATGCTCTTGTTTTAGTGGGGCCAAGTATTTCCTTGATGAGGAGCATATGTTGTTGGCTATACGCAGTGTGTGATTGTGCCAAATGTTTGTCACCAGGTGGAGAAGCCACCCGTGAAGGAACCCGAAAAGCTGAAAGAGACAACGGACAAGAATGATTGGTGGACAGGGGCAAACTACAACGGAAGAAAGTACGCTGCTGTTCAAAATGAGGTATCTGCATACACGTAGGAAAATAGACTTTGTACAGGGTATATATTGCTCATTCATTCCAATCTCAGGTTTTGGGAGCTCATCGCAAGGCTACAGTATCTACTCTAAATATTTTGTGGAACGCACAGAGGTTCCACGTTCCAACCTTCCACATCGAGGTACTGCGCCGACATTTCTCCCGGCCGCCATTGGTGTGAACTCAGTCCCAGCTTCTAACCTGCAGGTTCATCTGTTGGTGCAGGTGAAATCATCTGCGGCGAGTCAAGACATCCAGTTGGCGACGTCCACGACGTGGACAACAAGGGACGACATTAGTCCACCGCGTGTATTTGACAGAGGACAGAGTTAAATAGTACAAAATAGAGTCTACTATTCCGGAAAGGGCAGAGGGCAGCACTTTTCAAGGATCGAGTCATAGACTTAGGAAGGGTTTCCGTCTGGTTCGTTTCTGCACAAGTTCAAACGTTGAGAGGAAGTCGGCACGTGGGCGTGTTGGGTTCTACTGTGTAGTACTTACAACGATCCAAAGTCAGTCGAGTCCGCTCAAACGGCACAGAGACGTGAGGTGCCAAAAAGCCTCGTGGTGGCGACGTTGTACTGCCGCACCTTGTGGATAATTGTAACCTGTACAAACATATTTAGAGACGTGTGCTGCTGTCGGTTCCGCTGAAGTTGTGCAAGAGACATGATCATCTAGCGGTTTGATTCGGACGATGCGGTCCAAGATCCAATATCCAACAAGATCCAGGACGAAGTTGGGGGTTCTCTGGTCTGGAAAAGTATCAAGCCCTCCCCAATCTCACGCCTGCGAGTTGGTGCTCATACCCGCTGTGTACCAAGAACCTACATAGCTGTGTAGAACCTACATAGCTCTCTGCCGGCTGTAGGAAGGAAGAGCCCCATCCAGGTCAAGCAGCGACACTCAATCGCTCGAAAACGACACACGAGTTAACACTTCTAAACAAGAAGAGGCCTCTTGGTTGAGAACGAGCACTTTTTCCTGGTCAACCAGCATACATTCCGCGCGAATCAGACGATGGCGGATGCGTTTGACTCCGGCGAGGGACTCGCTGTTGAAGGAGACAACGTGGACCTCAACCAATTGAAGGGCCTGTTCACCGAGTGGCTTGACTCCGACGTGCAGGACGGGATATATAGGTGTGTTGTAGTCTTCCTGCCGGCGGCCTCCGATGTAACAAGGCAGCACGGGCCCGTTAGTGTTTTTTTTTTGAATTTGTGGCATCTGTGTCGCCCCCGGCCTATCTCTTGGTCTCGTTGCTGCTGTGTGTCCAAGCATCGAGATTTAACTGCTTTGGCGATCGGCGTTCATCCTTCTGTTCTGCGACGACTTCGTCTGCGTTCTCATGCGTTGTTTGTTTACCAAATATGACTGTGCTGCCGGTCGGTGGAACCAAGTAGTCTGGACAACTAAATGCCAACGGACGTCATTTTTCGTGTCTGCAGCAGCAGCAGCCACAGCAGTACCGGACGACACCCCGCGTGTGCCTGCCAACTCTGTCAACGCACCTTTCTGCGAACGGCGTCTGGTATATGCACCCATATGTACTGCAGCAGTAGTCGTGGATGGTTCTGGGGTGATTCGAGACAACCAGATACCCGGATATTGATGGGATCGACTAACAAGGCATCATTGGCCGTTAGACATGCTTCGCGTAGCAAGGAGAGCAGCAGCAGCAGCGCACGCCTGTTGCTGAACATACGCATATGCGTGGGTACTGCTGTAGGTCTTTTTTTGTTCATGCAGATTGACACGCAACACAGTAGCACAGCAGTTTCCAGACCTACTGGTAGGTCACATGGACTGGCTTCGTGCTGAACACGTGTGTGTGGAATACTCGAATGTTGTATTTACAGCAGCTGATCTTGGCTCTTGTGTCTCGAGACACCACCCATGAACCAAGGGAACAAGCAAAATGAGAATCCGGACACATGCCCCCCCCCCCTCCTCCGGGGAGGGCGGTTTCGATTTCGTTTTATACAGGAATTAGTATAGTGAATTTCGTTCACGACAAATCATTGCCTCCCCCACACTGCAGAGGGGTTTCTATCCACGGACGGTGCCCTTAACGTAATTATTCGGACATGGAAATTAGAGCCCCCTCGCACGGCCTCAGGTTTTGATTACAGTTAGAGCCCCCTCGCACGGCCTCAGGTTTTGATTACAGTAGTAGTAGGCCTGTGTGTCTTGGAATATATTTCGCTTGTATTGTCCTTCATGGACCCTGTTGATTGGTTTTCAGTTCTTTTTGGAAGGGAGGTTGCCATTGATATCGAGATCTAAGATGCTGGTATGCTAGGATGAAGTCGGTTCGCTCAAAGCTCTGCTGTAAGAAACCAGGCTGATATTTTGAAAGCAATGGCAAGTGTGAGACTTTACATCGAATGCTACCCAAAACGTGGTATCGATTTCGCCATAAATTGGCATGAGAAACTCAAGCTCAACCTGATTTTCAGTTTCTCAAGAGCAGGCCGGCTGCTGTCGTAAAGTGCACAGCAAGCAACCATACCCTGCCACACCCCTCTTGAGACCGTTGGTAATTTTTCTTTTCAATATTTGTACGATACCGAGAGGGAAATCGAAAATTGCCCTGTAAGACTCGCTGCGCCAGACGCGTACCGAGCTGGTGTGTACATTCAACTCTTTGTTGTTTGTTGCAGAACGATCGTGTCGTTGTTATGGATTGGCGTGCTCTTACGGTATTTGGCGATAGTTTAGGCCACACAAAACACGTTGGATAACCTCCTTCCGCTCTCAGAGGGCTTCCGCATTTGAGGTTATGTATGGCACCTGCGTTGAATACTGCAGCGCATTCTGTAGTGCATTCTGCGAGCCCTCTTGGGGGACTTGGGAAAAGGAAAGAGTATTGTCAAGAAGTATTCCAAGGGGGTCGCATAATCCCTCCCTTTGTGGAATACGAAACCAGGTGGACCTTTGTGCGAGTATGCGTAATAGTACATGATGGTCACTACAGTACCCGTCCTTTTCGATCGATGGGCCAATGAACATATTCACGACGTGTACACCCCCCATTCTACCAACCAACAGGGATCGTATCAACGCCTTAAAAGGCGCCAAGCATCTTAGACTTGTGGTCGACCTCAACCACCTACGATCAGATGGGCGCGGCGACCTCGCTGGCCGTATCATGCGCCGGCCAGCTCCACACATGTACGCACTGCGTGAGGCTGCGCGCGACGTGGCTCTGGCCATGGATCCTGCATTCATCAAGACGCTCAAGGACAGAGACATTCTTATTGGATTCGAGGGAAGGTGAGAGGTATTGATGAATCTGAGCTCACGTTGGCGCCAAGCATCGGAATGCTCCCAAGAAGCCGTGATTACGTGCTACAGCAGATAAGTTTATATGACGGTGGGTGAGCTATGAGAAAACATCTTTCGTTCGCGCAACAACCCCTCACAATCGCACGGCAACATCAGGCCAGGCATGTAATGATGTACTATTTGTATTGTAAAAAACTCCTCGTGCGCAAAGCACATCGCTCGCGCCATGAATTGCACTTGTTCACAACAGTCGTTGCCGGCAATGCTGCCCACATCCAACTGAAGTTGCGGTTTGCTTGGAGGTTTTGTGTGAAAGAATAGTGGCCAGCTCTGGTGTCGGGGTGACTTGCCTCTGTCGGTGCCAGTTTATAGTCGAATGTAGGCAGGCTGATACAGTTTTGTTCGAGGTCAACTGCGGTGTACGCCCAGCAACATGATGCTCGATGCGCCCACACTGTATGTATGCCCTCCGCAGCTTCGGACATCAACACGTCAGCCCGCGAGGACTCCTTGCATCGTATTTACGCACCTTGGTTTGCGTGGAGGGCATCGTTACTAAGTGCACTAGCGTACGACCGAAGCTGGTGAAGTCTGTTCACTTCAATCCATCCAACCAGAGCTTCACGAGTCGCGAGTACAGGGACAGCACAGCAGTGGAGCTTGGGCTGGACGCTGGCGGCAGGTGAGCTTCCCCGGACACGGACAAGGATATACCTATCTGGCATTTGCGTTTTGATCACCACACACGGTTACCTTTAATAGCGAGGCTGGCTTTTTCTTTACGTTTCGATGTCTTGTTATTGCACATCGGCGGGTTATATTCCTTGTTGTCGAAGAAATCAGTCGCATCACCCGTTGCCGGCACGCAAGATCTACACACGACATGGCATGATATGATCTGAGTACGATGCCTCTGCTGGGATTGCTCAACAGGTAAACATCCCGACCGTCGTGGACGTTTCTCCGGCTCTTAGGTTCGTCCCGTGCACTGTACTCATAATTTACCTGCATTTGCCGTCCATGTCCACGCCAATTTCGATGCGCAGAGAAAATTTGCCTACTACCACCCTCTACCCGACCAAGGATGCCGAGGGTAATCCGCTGGAAACGGAGTACGGTCTTTGCCGTTTCAAAGACCACCAGACCGTCACCATTCAGGTACATGACATATGACGGCCGATGAATGCCACCTAACCGTACCAACTGCTCCGTGAAGGTTGTTGTCGATGTCCCATTGGTTTCGTTTCATCACTTTACCCGAGCTGCGTGCTCACTACCAGTACCCCAGCTCAGCAGCCATGACGTGCTTGCTAAATACGTTTTTTGACGGAACCGATATGTAGCCCAGCGGGGTGCGCTGCATTTCGGTGTACTCTCGAGTCTCCACGTTGCCTATCCTGCTTCGGTGTTTGCTATGGCAGGAAATGCCCGAGCGAGCTCCCCTCGGCCAGCTTCCTAGGTCGGTGGACGTGATTTTGGATGATGATCTCGTGGACAGAGTAAAGCCAGGCGACAGGGTGCAGGTCAGCGCATCGCCGACATTGGCCGACAAACTAGTCTAAACGTCCCTATTCTCAAATACCGCAGTATTCCCCTCAAGCAGAAGCTGTCAGCTCTTGCCAATATTTGCGATCAACTCATCGCGAATGACGCTGGGCGTCTCACCCGACCTAAACAACGAATTCACTCGGGTGAAGGAGACTGCTTGCCTCAGGGCTTTTTTTACTGGTGTGGTGGTGGAAATGCGCATAGTATAATTCAAGGCTCCATTTACTCGTCATTTTGACAGATTACCGGGTTGTACCGGGCCACCGGAGGAGCGTCCAACGGGAGCACGTCTGGTGTATTCCGCACACTCATCATTGCCAACAACGTGGCCATCCTTGGCAAGGACGTGGGCAGGTACGCCTTGATTCTCCAATAAGCCTGCTCGCTCATGCAATCCATTCGTACAATACTCTCCTCTTACCGACGAATCGGCTTTGAAAAATCCAAGCTTTCGAAACAGCCTCAAAGGCCGCGCAACTCGGAACAAGTTCAACGGAGTAAGAGAGGAGTGGCATCGGTGACCACAGGCTTCTTTCCGTTTCCGATGCAATGTCGACCCGTGCAGTGTTCAAATGACTCCGACCGACATCAAGAACATTCGAGAGGTTGCCGAACGGGACGATGTGCTGGAGCTCCTTGCCAAGAGCCTGGCGCCATCGATCTACGGCCATGACCACATCAAGAAGGCCCTGGTGCTCCAGCTGTTGGTAAGTAAGCTGTTGGTGAGTCAGCTGTTGGTAAGTCAATCGTTGGCATGGAGGAAGGATCCATCGGCGTCAGTATTGGTTGCTTTTATGCATAGTAGCGAAGAGCACGACCTGGAGCTAGTCTTTTCGGCAGGGTAGACTCATATCGTCGAGGGTCAAGAAGCCTGAAGAAGCTCACTATGTTTGTTGTTTGACGTCTCTGCAGGTGGGCTGTTGGTCCCAGCCGCTTGCAATGTTAATGTTGCATGCACACCTCCTCTTGTCCGCTTTTCTGTGCCGAGCTTAGCACCAGACGACCAATGAAAGTCGTGATATCACCAGACTTACAATGCTGCTGCTGTAGGAAGATTGCACGGCAGTGGCCTTACATGACACGATAAAGAGCGGTACATTCTGTCAGGCATTTGTTGGCCTTGGGACCGGAATTCGACGCAACTTGAAAGCGATGATCTCTTTTTGTCTCACCGAAGAATACCATCTTGATCTGTATCATGCTATGTATTGTTGTAAGCCCGCGGTACATTTGCGGCTGCCAACGTTGAACACGTGATGCTCCTATTATAGGGAGTCTGCAATCTCACCCACCGTTGTTCCTTGTTGCACGGCCATTTGTGTAGGGCGGCGAGGAGAAAAACCTTGCCAACGGTACGCATCTTCGCGGAGATATCAACCTCATGATGGTTGGCGACCCTTCTACTGCAAAATCGCAGCTGCTTCGCTGCGTGCTGAACACGGTCAGTGCATGGATGGACCCTCTTGAATTCGCTTTATTGTTGTTCTTCCTCTGCAGTGATGACACCTGTACTTGTAAACGGAAAAAAATCATTCTCATTTAACATTGCCGGACCCTTGCACCACTTGTTTGTACACCCCTTCAGGCACCGCTTGCCATCAATACCTCTGGGCGTGGCTCAAGTGGCGTTGGGTTGACAGCGGCTGTAACGACTGACAAGGTGTGTGCACCCGGCAGCAAAGAGGCAAAGAGGTAGACCCCGGAATATTCAGCAGTTCACCCCCCAAGCGTCGGTCGATGAAACATAGTTTTTTGGTAATATATGTCAAGAATATGCGGCTATTGCTCTGACGAGGAGCGGGCATCGATGTACGTCAATTTTTCTGTTTTCCTCATTTCTCGTTTTTCAATATCTCATATCCTACGAGGTTGCATCGGTTTTCACGAACCAAACACTACGCTAGCTGAGCTAGGACAACCATGACTGATCTTCAAACAGGAAACAGGCGAGCGGCGACTGGAGGCGGGGGCGATGGTCCTTGCTGATCGCGGTGTGGTTTGTATCGACGAGTTCGACAAAATGAGCGAAATGGACCGCGTTGCGATTCACGAGGTACATGCGTATTAGGGCGAGATCGTAGCCCGTCAGCTTTGTTGGCTGCCGCGTATTATCCGTGAACACCGCGCCTACTCCTGTTTCCATTTTGCCCCCCAGCCTGATCATCATGTATTTTGGCGGAATACAAACGGTCTTCACGGCTTGTGTGTATGCGCACTCGCAGCAGGCATCCATCCAACGTGTGTACAGCAGTGTACTAGCACAACGGTATGTGTATGTATAGTTGGAGCGGCGCTAACCCCCGAATACCGATCATGCTTGGATTCGGTTCATCCGCTTCAGGTTATGGAGCAGCAGACAGTGACTATCGCCAAAGCAGGTATCCATGCCAGCCTCAACGCTCGCTGTAGTGTGGTGGCGGCAGCCAATCCTGTGTACGGTCAGTACGACAAGACCAAGCGCCCCCAGGTGAGACTTGTAGATACCACGGGTGTAGAAGGAAGGCATGGTGACAGTCCTGCTGTGCCTATCCGTGCGTGGGATGACAGCTGCTTTCCCAATATGCAACAATCACTTGAGTCGGCTGCGGGGGAAGCATATTTGTCGGGATGGGAATTTTTGTTTTTGTGGAAACCATATCAAAGACTGGGTGCTGTGGAAAGCTCCCGTCCGGTCTTTTTCTCCGTAAGGCTCGCGTGCTCGCGGGTGTTGGAGAGCGGTGGGTATTGTGTGCGTAGTAGTTTTTTTACCTCCTCGTACAAGACTCTTCCGCCCGAGATACTGCCTATTTTTGGAGATCCCACCCTCGTTGGGTATTCATCCTTAACCTTCCCCTGACCAAATCAACGGGGACTACATACAAATAGTGACTACCGACGGGCCACGTCAGCGGCACTGCCGCCTCAACAGTTACGTTTGATGGATATCTACACGCTCTTGTTCTTATATGGTGCATTGCACCGCACGACGCTGTGCGCGAGGTGACCTGAACGTTTCAATTTTGTTGTTCCAGGAAAACATCGGCCTCCCAGACTCGCTTCTATCCCGGTTCGATCTGCTTTTCGTGGTTCTTGACCAGGTAAGTCGAACGAATATTGTCCCGCTGCACGTACAGCGCATCTCCGTAGAGCTGTGTCATGTTGGCAGAACAGCTTGGAAGCACGAGACCAAAACGCCTGGAGTAAAGTGTTACTCTTCTCTTATACTCTGGCCGACGTTGCATGCATACAGTATCTTATTCCCCGCGTTCCATTATATCACTTCTTGCCCAATGTAACTCGATACCGGCACGGAGATGGATTCGCCTAGCTGCGTTGGCTGGCTACATTAGCTATTTCGTTAAGGCCGCACAGAACTGCTGGCTGCGCCTTGTTTGTTGTACTCTAGGGTGCCGGCTGTCTCGGAATATGCACACAGTAAAAAATGATTGCATATATGCGACTTCATTTCGAAGGGTTAGGGAAACCGCCGGACTTGGAAAACGCCCAGCAGAATTCATGAACGACTTGAGGCCAAGAAGATCGGAGAAAAAGCCTGGCACAACGCCGCAGACCGATCCGGTTTTTCGGCTCGATTGTTGATGCTGCTTTTATAGATCCTCAATAGTAACCAAGGCAACTGTGAAGCTGTTTCTGGCTGCGGTAGACTACTGTATACAATACTAACGTGCACCCGACGCCCTCGCGCACACCAGAACGCGCTGGATTCTTTGGTTCGGTTTCTCGTGAGGAGCTGTGGGTGCCTCTCCTCGATTTATCCTAACGTTTGGCATTTGAAATATTCTGTGCACACGCAGAGCCGACTTTTGATCAACTCACATGCCGGTGGTGCTGGAGAAGTCACACACCCCGCCAGTGTCCGATAAAACAACGGCTCCCCGTGACTTTCAGGACGAAGGAGCCCGTGAATTGCTTCCCTCGAATGCGCATACGGCGTAGTCCGGTACGCCTTCTACTGCACCGTGTGTTCAAAGGTCGTAGAGCTTAACCCCTCAACCGCCGGGTTAACCGTCGTCACTGCCCTCTGGAATAATTTCCGATCGTGTGCGAGATAGTCTTATCCACGCCTCTGGACTTTCGGGCCAAAAGTACACGGAAAAAAAGTTCCTGGACCCACACTACCCCCACCCCTCAGCTGGTCGATTTTTTTTTTTTCTCAAACCAGACAGACAAAGCTGGTGTTTCGAAATCTTTTTGACGTCAGTAGATCAGCAACATGTTGTTCATCAAAACGCATTAATGCTTGATAGAGCAAAACCGGCGCCAACATCTTGGCCAGTAAACGTATCGTTACGTACGGCGCGTACCTGTCTGCCCTGCATAGCATAGACTAGTCAAGAAGTACTGAAAAGACATGCTGTTCCGGTGTAAATTCAGCATAGACCAACTTGCGTACCGTAGGTTGCGTAAGATATCACACCCCCTGGACCGATTGTCGAAGCTCGATTATTCGGCAGGAAAATCAGTGACGGCGCCGAGAAGGGCAACGTTTGAACCGTCTCGTCAGAGCTTTCCGAAAACATATAATCGTGGAGTGATCGAGCTTTGAAAATCGGTCCACGGGGTGTGATATCTTATGCATCCTACGGTAGAAGAAGGGCTTGCTTGTTTCCAAGCAGTTACTGTCCCGTTCTCTGGCCACGTATGTATGTAAGTGTATACCGGAGGGGTGTATGGCCAGCTCGTCCTCTCGCACGTCGAGCATGCGCAGTGGATGGGAGACCATCGTCGTTGCAGATCACCTTGCGTTATATACACTCAACACACTCAAGATATGACCCCCAAGTATATATTGACAGTACCCCAGGCATTATGAATCCTATAATATAAATCTATCCCCGGTGGATCGTCTTCTGCTAATAAGGTCGTCATTCTGCGTAACCGTTCGTGGTGGTATAGTGCTGGTTTGGCAGCACTATGGCAGCACTAATACGTGTGTGTTGAGGTGTTTTAGTTCAGAGGCATATACGACGTTTAGTATATGCATACTATATCCTATAATACATGTAACTACGAAGTACGTGTTGCCGTTCTAAGTCCTACTTCTACATAGTAGCCACCCGCCGTCGGTGAGAACCCGGCGTGCTCCGTCCGGGCTTTGTAGGGATGCGAGGTCAATGGTCTAACGACTACGGCATGCACGACTGTGAGTACACCCACCCCCCTTGGCGGGTCAAAATGGAAGATGTGGAGTGTGGGTCCAGGGACAATTGTTTTGTATGCCCTTGTGCGGGCTCATGTTTTTTTCTGGTGCCATAGACTATGTCTGGCGGGGCCACGCATTTGACCAGTCTGAACGCCAACTCCACCGTTGTGCAGCTTGACGCAGAAAACGACCGTGCGATCAGCGAGCATGTCCTGCGTGGGCACCGCTTCCGCAAACCTGGCTCGGACATGGAACCCGAGCAACTCAATGGTTCATCCGCGGAAGGAGCAGGCGAACAAGAGCAGACGGAGTCGCCAGAGGAAGCTGCGCAGGTATCGCATCGCGGCGTAATCCTCTTTTTCTCTCTTCCTACCTTCGACTACGTTTCTTCACGACAGTAGTGCAATAGTTTGTCAGAACAGAAAAGAAGCCTAGTTTCGAATCCGAAGAGTCACAGGTCATGAACGCTTCCACGCACTAATGCTCTGCGCGTGTTGGGGTGCGTTGTTGAGCTTGCAGGTTTGGGAGAAGCACCATCCGCTTCTTCGGGCATCCAGGAACACGCACGAGGAACTCGTGTGCCAGAAGGTATATTACAGCCTGAGCAGTTCGGCAACAGTAGGTGTAGGCACCAAGAGGTTCGCGGCGACTGCTTTGATAGGTCGCGATCGCAATAGATTTCCGATAAACAGGGCCATCATGGCAGTGGTACCGCGACGTCGCTTCATCCATCTTGTGTGAAAGGCTTAGAGGTGATTTCATTTTCCCGTGCCATCGGCGTACAAACTGTACAACGTGTAGACTATGCTGTCATCCTGCGCGTGTGACCTTTCCACACACCCCTTGTTTTTCACGCCCGTAACTATGTCTAACTTCAGTTCCTCAAGAAATTCTTGCACTACAGCAAACACCGCATCCACCCAGAGCTAACTGAAGACGCCCGTGAGCACATCGCGAGTGCATATGCTTCACTCCGAAGCAAGCAGGTGAGCTAGGAAATGACGTAGTCCGATCGCGTCGATGCGTTTGGTAGACCACAGGACCTTAGAGCAGCACGTAAAGGTGATGGAAGTGTACTTTTTTTTTTTGGCGACACCCAACAGACGATTTCAAGATGGCTTGAATATGCTTCACCATCCGTCGTTACTGCTTAAACATTATCTTCATGTGGCAGTTGTTGATTATTGTGGAAGACCGATAATTCTACGTGGGACTTGTAACGATTTAAGACCAGTGGTGGTTACATGGTGTTCAACACACCTGCGCATTTCTTTCAACTGCTGTGCGTGGTGTGAGCACAGGGAAACAACCGAAGCCTTCCAGTGACCGCACGTTCTCTCGAGACGTTGATCCGTCTGGCGTCAGCTCACGCCAAGGCACGCCTTAGCCACAAGGTCGAAGAAGCAGACGCAGCCAAGGCAATGAACTTGATGAGCTTTGCTCTTTACCACGAGACCGCCGCTTCCCTGGACGAACAACATGATGAGAACAGCCGAGGCAGAGACGACACGCTCCAGACAAACAGCCAACACCAAAACCAGCACGAGGGCCGAGGAGCCAAGGACGACGATGCTAGACCTGTGAGACGTGGTGTTTTTTTCTGCGTGCTTCTAGTAGTGCGATCATTGGAGATGAGCTTCTTTTGTGCAATTATCTCACGCAGGGTATCAGCCAAACGTAAACACTTGTCCACCGTCCCCTATCGTTTCGAATGGCGCTTATTGGGAAGTGTTTCCTGTATTGTACGCTCACCGGTTTGCTGGTGTTGTACACGTTCTCTGTGTGGGCTTACCACGGAAGGAAAAACTACCAGGCGACCCTTGACAAAGATCCTGTTGCCATCCGTCGTTTTCTTTCCTATCCATGACGACTATCCATAGCTGTGTATCGCTGTCGCCTGAATGACCTACAAACGCTTGTGTTTCGGGTGCTGATTTCTGGTACGATGTGAGATGCAAAGGCCGGCACGCGAGCCGCAGTAAAGTTGCTCGTACAGTATGCTTGGCACGTCCTCCTACCGATAACTAACCACTGTGACCTTGCGCTGCATGCCCTTTGTGCGATAATAGGGCGCCAAGCGCCGCCGGACAAGCAGCCAAGACGTGGCTGGTGCAACAAGCAGATCAACGCGCGGTGACCAGAATGTCGATCCGGCGGCGCGTACGCAGACTGCGACGCAGTTGGTTCTGGAGGTCATGCGAGAAAAAGACCAAATGTCTCTCGGCGACTTGCTGTCAGCGACAAATGCCGCTGCCACGGCCGGCACAAACTTCACACGAGCGGAGCTCAAGGCTGTCCTATCGACCCTAGACGACGAGAACAAGATTATGTTTTACGATGACATGGTTCACAAGGTCTGAAGCCTTTTGCCTCTCGGTTGTGTTCCCACGGACAAAGGAGACTGTTTTTTTATTTTGCGTGAGAGTGGCTATCTCTTTGTTTCCTCCTCATGCTGGACGGTTTATGAACCTGCTGAAAAATATGTTGTGAGCTTGCTCTGTTGAATATACAGCGAAGTTTCCTATGCGTGAGGGGGTCATGCCACTTTGACTTAAACCTTCAGCGAGCCTCTCTTTGCACTGCGAGCTTCTCTTTGCAATGATATGCAATATTTGTTTGTAAGATTGGGTTGGGTTTGTCGTTATTTATTCAGTAGCAGACGCGTTGGCACATACAGTAGCTTTGGACGATATACATGTTGTTGCCCCACCAAAGTCTGAACCGTTCACGCGGTACTTGTTTGGCAGTCACATAGAATTTGGCAGGTCACGGTAACACGCCAAGCTGTAGAGAGCGGTTTGCTTTCCTTACTTCGTTGGAACACAATTTATCTTCCTAGTTTCATATCTTTTGTGCCCCGTGAGCTGTCGGTCTCGTGTAGGCAGCATATCTCGAACCACACTGCACCAGGCGATCATTGTAGCGTTGAGAGAGCTGGCTGAGCCCGGGTGCAAGACGCAGCACCTTCTCTTGCCCCCTAGCTATTTAAGTAATGTTGAAAGTCCTTATTGTTCCTTGCGATGCGATCTACGATAGCGTCTGGAAAAATCCTCATCGTTCGCCGATGGCGGCGTGTCGAATTCGCTGCACTATTTCCGGAGCAAGTCGTCCAGGCAATCTCCCGTGGTCTCCGTTCCCTGTACGAGGGTGAGCGAGAGATTATTCGATGAGGCAAGGATAGCCGAAAAAACAGGTTCCTACTGCCCTAGACTACAAGAGCGCAATACTTGCAGTATGGCACCGATGTGGTACAAATTTCACAGAGATGGAAAAATCCATCTCACGATGCAGCCCCCCCTTCTGGTTACAAAGAAAGCAAACACGCATCGAACCACCACCCCCCAATGACTCTGGGGTAGTCGGGTGGTGGAGGTTCGTTAAGTTGTTCACTGCACATTGTTACTAATGGTTCATACCACGCTGTAGCAACTCGTGACTTCTTTCAATGAATTTGTGACAGGATGTTATTGTACGAGGTACACTTTCGTGTCGCCTAAGGTCGCCTGCTTCTGGCAATAGCATGCAGCAGGAAAGATAAACTACTGCACAGCGTGTAGTTGACTGTTTACCTGCAGTTCTGCTGCTGCAGCCGTCGAATGCTGCAACTCTCGTAGTGTCTCCTCTATTTCTCCAAAAGCGGGTCGTTGTTGAGGATTTTCGCTCCAACAACGACACATCAAACTGGAAATTTCGCGCGGGCAGTCTCCTCGAGGTACCTGACGTGGACAAGTTTGCTTTCAGCATGTAATTGTTTCAAGCAAGATACATCAGTCGATATCCTTTTTAATTTACAGCCCTCGCATCGCTCAGTTGGTCAACCAGGTCATCGTTGAAGGCATGCATGTATGAGTTTCTCTCACCGCGGGACGCCCACCGCTAACCACAGCTTCCCGAATGTCCGCAACTTCGAATCCGTTGAAAGGTATCTCGCGAGAAAAAATCTGACGCAGATACCACGTACATACATGAACGCGGGCGTAGAAGCATGAATGATTACGACAGAAAGAGTAGGGTGTAGACTAGTCCCATACCGTCCGATTGCTTCCTTGTCACGATTGATTGCTGAAATCAACACCACTGCTCAGATTTCCGGTCCTGCCTGTATCACCTATTGGCCTACTGCTGGATGAGGTTGTTTCAACTATTTGAGCTCACCCAAACTTACTGAGAACCGAGGGAGGATGATTTGTGCGGTGCCTTACGTACCGCGTACGTACACAGACGCCGTGTCGTAGCGCCGCCCTCCCGATTCACACGTGACAATGACACTACAGTAGCACCACGTATAGTCTACACAAGCCCTGTTTTGCTTCCAGCCCATCTCACCTCCCACAAAAGAACGCCGAAAGCGTAAACGTCGACACTCTTGTTGAAGGGTTGGCCCAGTAGCAGCTGAGGCGACATATAGGCAACTGTGCCGGCGGCCGTCACCGTCGTCCTGTTTGTTTGAAGTTCAGCGTGCGCTTACCGTTACGCGCGAAAGGCAACACCAATGTACAGGCTCATGCATGGGATGTGATAAACGATCCGGGCCGTTCCTACTTCTGTGTGACGAAAGAAGATTGTCGTTGATTGGCATATACGCGATGTACGTACCCACCCTTACCCATCGATCTTGGCCTCTAGACTATTCTTTAGGTGGCTTTATTGTTTTGAAGAAGGCCGGACTTTCAATCTTGATGTTGTGTTTGTTGTGATAGGGGCACCACGGGGTCGTGGTACCTACCGCGTGCAAGGCGCTAATGCGCCAATCGCTTTGCAATGCACTCGTGGCCAGAGGCTGGTCGTGTGCGGGTAGGTTGGGACACCGACTTCATCCTGGGGGGGGAGGTTGCGGGGAGGTTGCAGCCCAATGTGTGCAAGTCATCCCGTATCTCGGATATTGGTATTGTTCCACCAACCCAGCGGGCTGCAAGCCGAAAAAAAAAATGTGTTCAAGGTTTAACTCGGCCTCCCAACCTCGCCCTCCCAGGTTGTAGTTGCTGCCCAACCTGCCCCTCTGGCCACCGGTCAGTGTGGTTGGAACCCCTACCCACCGGACCAAGCCAAAGTCGCACAACTTCACGGGGCCCTCCGTTCCGGCCAAAAGAAGGTTTAGGCTCTTCAGGTCGCGATGGATAATAGGCGGGCTTCGCGAGTGAAGGTATTCCATTGCTCTGGATACGTCCAGCTGATGCCAGGGATGAGGAAACAAAGAAGACACGGAAAATTAACGGCAGCGCAGCATGTGTTAGAAGCCCAGTCCCGCCTGTAGACTATAGAATCAACTCTGATGTATGTACCGTGAAGACCGTTCATCCCAGAAAACAACGACGACAGCAAATCTGATGCTCCACCCTTCATAGCATGAGTATGATATCTATTAATCACCCACGCTCGAAGTCTACGACGTCTTGAGACCTGTGCGGCCGACACAAGCAAGAAGTTACGCTGCGAAAAACTGAGGGGGCGCCCTGGTGTTTGTATATGCGCTATTTGTACAGACCTACCAGAAACTCTGCGTATGCTTCGCTTGCCATCTCACCGCCATTCCTACTCGCCTCCGCACACCAATAGCTCGCCGGCAATGGTGCAGCAGGTCGAATAGCGATCGCTGGCATAGCTCCATCACGAAAAAGAGGTTTGGCGGGATCATACTGGCCCCGTAGAATCGAACAATGTTGGGGTGCGATAGCTGGCTGCACACAGCCGGCGAGTGTACAAGAAATAATGCGTCGCATTTTTTTGGTGAGGACAGTGCGGCCTAACGTGTGATCCACGCTTGGGCTGATGGGGGCGTGTACTACGTGTATTGTAGACTACATAGTCTTTGTGTTGACCGCATATGGGTCCATACGTTTCGGTGTTTAGAGTTCCATGCCTTCGACCTTCCACCGCTCAACATCCTCAAGCAAATATTGCCTGTCCACTGCTCTGTTACTAGATCTAGAACCTTACGAAAGTTTCATGTTTTTCTCGATCACACACTCTGCAGCTTAGTCTACGGTCACCTTAGCACCAGCAATTCGTCCTGGAATTCTCGTTTCAGTCCCTCGTCGATTCGACGATCAAACTGTACATGTACGCGCGTCATGCATAAGGAGGGAGGGAGCGATGAAAAAAATACGAAACACACTGCCGCTGCCTACATGGAGTAGTCTAATTTGTGCAGGAAACACAAACGATGCGGGAAACACTAACGACATGATGACTGCGTGAGTGACTCGGCGCGACGAAGAAAGATCCAGATGTATAGGTCGTCAACCCTTTCACACAGTCTCCGTAGCCAACCACTAGTCGATGTATAACACAATATACATGGAAGTCAGACGCGCTGTAAGAGACCAAAAAGGCTGCTGCTATTGTAGCTGTTCGTGTGCATCGAGAAGAATGTTCGTTTACCATGTACATGTAGTAGACGATGTTTGTATGTAGTCTAGTCTAGACTATACTAGACTAGACTTTTCGTCTATTATGTATGGTCTACTGTAAGGGTTCGTTCTTTCGATGTCCAATGTGCACTGGGTACCGAGGTTTCTTGGTTTATACCAATTTGGCATAGTCTAGTTGATTACGTTAAAACTCACCAGTGTCTTCACCGCCACGTTTTTTCCCTTGTACAGCCCACGGTGCACCAAGCCGACACTCCCCCCACCCAGTCGCTCGCCTAAGAAGATCTCATCGAATTTGATCGTCTTCCAACTCACTGATGGCGATACCTCGTCTTCCTCGTCGAAAGTCTCGTCACCATACTCGTCCTCTTCTTGGTGCATCTAGAACAGCAGCAGCAAAGAAATATGGGCGTGCCTATGTACCTGTAAACAGCAGCGGCGAAAGATCCACATCTGGAAAGATCGGGGGGGGGGGCACCCGCCCAAAGATCTTGGGCTAGATGGCTGGCTCTCCGCGTTGCGTGCCCCCTTGGTTCGGTTTGCCTGTTCGGCAAGTCAGCGCCTATCGCCGATCAGGGATCGGGGTGTTGTGCTTTTGTTTGCGCCCATTGAACGCGTGAGAAGGGCAAAGGGCATGTCTGTGGAGGATGAGGGGAACGAGCTGCTTTCGCTTCTTCAAACTTGCGAGATCGGAATGCCGTGGCAGCAGCGTTCGGAAGCATGCCGCGCTCTGCTCCGTCTGATTGAGAGCCAGCGTGTGAGAGATGTCGACAAGCTCCCTCGGAAGATCTACACGTTCATTTTAGATTCTCTTCGCCTAGGGTGGAAACAACCTGGAGAGAAGTATGCACAAGCTTGCTGGACAGGCCTCGTTGCACTTCCAGAATTTGAGGAGACGGTGGCTGGAGATTGCATTGATGATGGATTTTTGGAGGAGCTCTGCGGCAGGTTCCAAGCCGGTGTGCCGGACGAGCGAGCTTTTCTACGTGACACCCTCCACTGGGCTTACGCAAGCTTCCCGCAAAAGCGTAGGTTCCTTCGGAGAAAAATTGGCGGCTTGCTAGCATACTTCGTGAGAACGCCAAGCAGCAAGTTTCATGTCGCAGAAGTACTCCAGTGCCTCCGGCTGATCATCAAGGGGTTCCCCAGCCTGAGCAAGGTTCGCGCTCGCTCGCACGCCCCCCACGTAGACTGCTGCTGCTGTTCTATGCATTGTTTAGCCGATATTTACCAGAGTATTTTGTAGACAGTGCGCGTCATGCTAGTCGGGCACCACCAACCTCGTCTTGCGCACAACGCTGGGGTTTGTGTCTCCTCCGTGGGTTATGATCAGGTGCTGCATTAACCCTCCTATGCATACAATGGCGTACCCAGTTATGCTTACGTAGTTGCAGGTTTATATCAGGTCCAGAAAATATCGCGTCCGCTCATGTGGGAAAAAAATGGCTCTACAATCCCGCGGGATCAATGAACTCGGTTTTAGACAGAAAAGTGTCCCCAAATGCACTGGAGACACTCTCCACACTGAAGTCAAATCAGCAAACTTGTCCGTACTAAGCTATTACATGTACCAGACTTTCACCAACAAGGGGACACGCGGCTCAATATGCGTCCAGCTATGTAGTACAATGGTTGAACCAAGCCCGATTTTTCCAGTGTGCAAACATGACCATCCCCACCTTCGTGCGGCGGTATGAATGAAAGTTCGGGTATCGCGGTCCTTCGGCGGTTCTCGCTGCATTTTTGTGCATGCATCCTGCATCTGTTCATCCGAGATTGATATGATGCATACTCCTGGTGTTTTTCTAGCGGAAAGGTTTCGGAATACGCCTTAATAGCCCTACTTGATTTGTAGGTGTGTAAATAGGGCGACTCGGGAGATGTTGTACGCAATGCCCGTTCGCACCCAGAATCTCAACTCATTTTTCAATACGTGCTGCTACTGCTGCCCCAAGGACCTCATCGCCTAGGTACATCTGTTTTGCCAGGTTCGGGACCAGATACACATACCGTTGTTTGTTGGCTATGCATAGTTCTAACGAACTTCCAGCTCCCCGCTTGCACCCGATGTAACGCACATGGCCGGATTCCTGTTCCAGGTGCACCGATCCCTCCTCACGGAAGTCCTCCTTCCGCTCCATGAGCCCAATCAGATGGCAGTGTGGAGCATTCAGCAACCTCTTATCGAGAGCTACCACGAAGATCTCGTGGGTTGCCTGGTGTCTTTTCTGGAGCTGCAGCCGGAGATGGTGGAAATTGTTTTCGAATCCATCGCTACGGCCTGGCCTCAAGGCTTCAACAGCAACACTCCAAAGGTTTACATCTAGGCTACACACCCACCGTTTGCACCTGGTTGTCTTGCCCCTGGTTGTCGTGTGGACACGGTTAATCACAAGTAAGCCATGAAGAGAAGAGAAATGTGGTTGGCTCAGACCCCGCATTATGATACCGGCAGACAGTATACGCTGAGGCAGGCAAACAGCAGTTCCGCTATCGTCTAGTCCAAACTTGCGAGAGGGCTTGTGCTAGTACGGTGTTGATTTCCAGTCTTTCCCCACCTGGCAGACCTTAAGTGCATTAAATGCTTCACTTGTTTTACGGCATTCGTGCGACTTCATATCCTTCGTGCTTCAATTACAACATACAGAGTTAGTTGCCTTCCGGCGCTTACCTTGACCCCTCGCCCCCTCTAGCCTGGGTTCTAGGTGCTAGACAGAAGAATTGGGAGCCAATTCTGTCCTTCTGCACCCAAGATTACATTCCAACATGGCCTGCTTGCTGCGCATGTTGCACCGCTCTGCCGTAGGAAGTGCTGCTGCTGCACGAAGTGGGAACGTTGATCAGGTTTGTTTCACCAGAGGCAAGCAGCGCGGTGCTGGAAATTATCATGCCGAAGGTTCGTGTTTAACCATGTTGGTATTGCTCCGGCGTTGTCTTGTGCAACAACTACGTAGCATGTGCTTCCGACAGTTGGTGTCTCGGCATACCTCAGCATCTAGTCGTAGTGTTGAGCTTGTGGTGGGTACTGGTTTTCCTTGGGCGTAAAGTGTGTGCCTTGTCATCCCATTTATTCTGGACGCCAGTGTTACGCCCATCGGTATGTTCCGACGCATCAACCGGGATCACCCGGGAGGAATGCCAAACCAGTAGCTTTTTTATTTCTCCTCCTCCTTTCTGCGGTGATATGGCGCGAGACGCACTCAAACATTCCTCACCGGGTTTCAACTCGAACCTATGTTGCTGACCAGATTCTCGCGTGCCTTCGGGTCGAGAACAGCAGAGTGGTCGAACGGGCGCTTTACCTCTTCAAGGATGAACATCTCTTGGATGTATTGGCTGCGAACACGAGCACGACATTTCTACCGCTGCTATCTGCACTGCTGAGGGGTGGGGAGCCTTTCTGGAACCCAACTGTCAATAAGGCGAGTGACAATTGGATTAGCAAGTGAAATCTTTGTTGAAGCACGCACGCATCGCAGTTTTGAGCGCAGCCTTTCAGTGACTCTTCCATGAAGCAGGTTTGTGCCGTGAAATGCCCTCGACATCAAACCGTGCCCCGCCGGCTTTGTAATGTTGCAGATGACAGCCCGAGTGCTAAAGTCCCTGGAGGACAAGGATAGCACCGCGTTTGCTGCCGCATGCGAAACTTTGTGGGGTCAGGAGCCACGTCGCGTGTCCGACGCCGAAAACAATGCGACCCCGACACCACAAAGAGAGGTAAGCGTCATTCCGTATATCTCCATACATACCAAATGCGGATGCCCAATTGAGAAAGTCCCACCCCACTCTCCATACTGGCTGTGTGATGTTGATTCTTGAGTACCGTTTTGTGTCACCGAAACACTCCGGTTTGCCGCTTTTTGGTTGTTTTCCCCCACAGTGGGTTTGCCGAAATCACGCTGGCTTTCGAACTCATCGCTCGTAATTTGCAGGTGCCTTTTCGACCCCAGTCCAGCAGCAGTGGTCTCCTGCCTCCCACCACCCTGAAGGGTGCGATGGGAAACTGGCGGCCTTCAGTGAGTGGTACCGGGCGCGGTTCGGACACACGAACACCCCCTGCCGCCGTCACCGGGGTCGCGCCGTGGGCCTTCAAATCGCCCAAGCCACCAACTCGATTGGGAGGGATGGACCGCCTGCAGACGACGGCGGATGGCGTACAACGGATCAAACCGCCGGTTCAATCGCTTAAAAGACTGCGGTAAGAGTCTCGTAGAACCGTCGATTCGCTTGCACTCTTCGCTCGCGCTGCGGCATCAATAAGTTACCGCCATACAGTAGTAGGGGAGAGAGTTCGAACAAAGTTTTTGCCAAGCCCGCAAAGCACACAAATGAGCATTAATGCCATGCACCCTTGCACTGTCTACGTGTAGGCCAGGCGTTCTGGAGGGTGAGGGGCATTCCCGTAAAGGCGACGGCTCTCGAGTTGGAGCACCACAGTCTGCAAAAGCTTCCGCATATCCCAGCTTGGCGTCTCAACGTTCGACTGGGTCTTCATCGGCGACGTCAGCCTCACTTGAATGTCAAGGCGGTACGAAACCGCAGATCAAGAGCGATCCTCCAGTGGCCAAAAGCGGCGGTGAGGACCCCATAGACGCTGCTGCCGCGGTGAAACAACAGGGACCGGGACTCAGGAGAGTACGAGAATTCATTCTGAAGATCATACCAAACACAACGGAGGAATTATCAGGTCCTTCGTGGCAAGAGCTACAATTAGAACCAACACCCACACTTCTCCCGGAGTTGAGGTGAGATGTCTTGGCACACATAGGCTGAAGAGACTCAAATATAGCCAATGTTACCGAAGCCATGCGGTTTAATGTGCTGTGCTCCCCGAAGTGGCACTTGAACGCGTAACAAGCAACCTTCGCTCGCGCACGTTGTCGGCGTGCACATTTTCTGCCCAATACCTGTAAATGAACTGACTACTCTGCTGTGACTATTTGCTTGAAAACCGCTCTTGCGGTCCGCGTGCATGTACTGCTAGGTTTCACGATCTGGTCTTCGGGCATGAGCTTGGCTCGGGAAGTTTCAGTGTTGTGAAATACGCCCGACATATCACCAAAGGAAGATCCCGAAGCCAGTGGCCAGAGTTTGCTGTGAAGATTATCAGCACGACGAAGATCCAGGTGGTCACAAGTCGGATGGGTGGTAGCTGCGTTTGTCCCACTAAGCGGCATTTTGTAGCGTTGGCAGGACCAGCATTTTCCGTCGTCGACCGACATATCAGGAGGCCAAGCAGAGCCGGGCATGACAAGCGGGTAAGGACCCATGCATGAAGCTGCACTCTCGGTGCTGCCACACGCCGGCTTCCGTCCGTCGTGGTTCTCTTCCGGCCAGAAGCTCAAAGTCTCGCATTCATCGCTACCGTTGTTGCCTCCGTGATTCGGCATGTTCCGCAGGAGCTGAACTACGAAAAAAGCGTCACGAACGAGATTGCGTGTTTGCGCATGTTCAGCCACCCAGGCATCGCGCGGCTTGTATCAGCTTTTCGCTGGAGAGACGGTGCATATCTGGTGCTTGAATATGCCTCGAGAGGGGATCTTCATAGCCATATCAAGGAGCACGGCTCTCTCTCTGAAGCCTCGACGAGGTATGTCTGCGTCTAATCGAGATACGCCATACCCTTCCCTCCGCGCTTGTTTGGGGAACCGAGCCACTTTGTATCAAGAACCGGGATACGACCAATATACCGCACCACGATTTTTGCACCGAACGATTGACCTCAGAACGGTAGAACGGGAGTAAGTAAGAACGGTGCCGTCTCTGCCTCTCTCATCAGCGGCAACGGGTTCCTCCAACCCCGTAGTAGAACCACGTTCGTCAACTGGTGTGCGAGACGGCGGCCTCGTCAACAAGGTTTCGATCCTTTAATTTGCGCCTTGTACGCTGCTGGTCATGTTTCTCTGGGCCGTACTCTCCTTAAAAATCCTTCCGTTTTTTTGGGGTGCCTCACCCATGCTGTTCTTAACGCCGCGTCCATGGTTTCGAATCCGCCCGACAGGTTCGTCGTCGGAGAGGTGGTGGCAGCCTTGTGCAGTATCCACGACAACGGGTTTGTGTTTGGAGATCTAAAACCGGAAAATATCCTCATCACCGAGAGTGGTCACATCAAGGTTGCTGACTTTGGTGCCTGCCGCCCGGTCTCGGAGCCTGCGAAGAGCTCTCTCAACAGTAGCCGCGATGCCCTACACACGCTGAGGGATGGAGACTGGAGGGTGAAGGCGGGGCTACCACCCAACCCTTTGTACACGGTTGGGTTTGGGCGCAAAGACGGTGATACCGACAGCGACAACGACGTCGTAGAGCAGGACGGCGAAGGCGCGAGCGCGGGAGAGGAAGGAGAGTCCAGGGCGGAAGGAACTGCAGCGTATATGCCTCCAGAGGTTGCTCGTGGAAGCTCCCCTGGTTTCGGGGCTGATGCCTGGGCTTTGGGCTGCGTGACGTTCTTGTGTCTGTCCGGCCGCCCTCCTATTTTTGCGGAAACAGACGAAATAATTATGGCCCGGATAGTACGGTTTTCGTCCGGGGACGCCGGTGGAAGCGCAGGGGGAGGCAGCGATCATCCGGTTCTTCCTCCCGCTGTCTCCGAATCTCCACGATTGTTCATCCGCGCGCTCATGGAGCCCGACCCGAAGATTCGACTTGGAGTTGAGAATGCAGCGAAGCACGAGTTTCTTGCTAAAGGAGGGACAGACGTGTTTCTGCTTCATCGCCAAAAACCTGTGGAGCTCGCCCAGGGTGCTGTTGCGCCCAATCCGCATGCAGCATGGTCGCGCAGACAGAATTCCATGATTTGGGCGCCAATGCCTCAGGAGTACAGGTGAGACCGGCACAGTGTCGTTAGATTTCCGTGGGGTTGCTGTCGGTTTGGCACTCTCGAAGGTGACCACCGCCGCATCCTGTCACTTTTCGTGCGGAGCAAACCGGAGCAAACTGAATAAACAGGAGATAACAGGAATTGTTTTAGTGTCGACGAAGCAAGGGGTGGACTCTGCACCCTTGCTCTCTTTTCTCTGTCCTCCTGTGGCATTGTGACAAAGTTGCCAAATATTTTCGGCTGCTGATGACAGCGACCCAGGTCACGTATGTTCGTCGCTATGCAATGCGCCGTTGTGGCTATCACTCTAGTTTTGATTCGGTGATCCTAATGACCATTTTTCATGGCCTCCAAGTCAAAAAGCGCTCACGAGCTGCTCGTAAGTTTGCCCGTCTTCCTCCAAAACCCTTTTGCAGGTTCGATGCTGTTCCAAAGGAGCTGGCCATCATCGTAGAAACGGAGGTGGAACGCGGAGGAGCGTTCGATCAGCAGTTCGGTGGTATTCGGGAACCCCCCGTTGCCGGTGCTTGAAAGAGAGATCCGTGAAATAGAGCCCGAATTGGCCTCGTGTTCCTGTTTTTCGGTCGGCCTACATGGAAAAGCGCGGATTGATTGCCTTGGATCTTGCGCGGGCTCTTTTGCTTGCACATAATGTGTCACTGTTCACGCACCGCCAAGGTCATGATTTGAAACTGCACTGGCCAAATTCATCGTGCGTCGCCCACATGACCTAATTTTTACCGCCAACGCTTTCAAGTATGGTCCACATGACATGGAACCCGCAGCACCCCTTTCCCACATGCGCCGAGAGATGTTTTCTCTCTTCGCTGTTCTTTCACGGCCTGCCCCCTCGGTGTTGTCCCTCATTACCGCCTACACCTCCTGATGTCTATTTCAATTCGAAGCTATCGTCCGGAACACGAGGCGCTTTAATCGCTCGCTTCTTGAACACAAAACGCCCAGCCTGCTCTGCACGTCCTCTTTTCTTGAGCAGAGCCCAGTCCAGTCGGCAGGCGTTAAACATTCTCTGCGAACCAGCTCCTCCCGCGATCGCGTCAGCTTTTCCACGTAGGCTCTGGCGAACGACTCGTAGCGATGTGATATCTCCCCCAGAAGCCATTCGTCCAAGGACCACAGCCTAGCATCGCCCAGGAAACCCTCAACCTGCAGAGATGACAAAGGTGAAAACATTGTCGACGTGACTTTAATCACAGATGTCCTTTGCGGATTTCACTGTTCATCAACCAACACATTTTTGTGGTAGGGGTCCATCCATACCCCACAACCCAGTCGGCGTGGCTCACATCGGGGGTACTAGTGCACTTGCCTGTTTCAGAACCGCGGCGTTCAGCGAGGTGCCCAGCGATTCTTGTTGTGAATCGCATGCCGAGCCTTCTGCTTGATGTTTTGCAGTGCAAGTGGCCTGTCTCCACGGCTCTAGCAGCACAAGACACAAAATTTCGAGAGACACAATGTCCGTTTGAGCAAGTTCAGAGAGCTCCAGGATGAAGCTCGTGACTTGTTCGGCGAGCACACCATGCTTGTGTTGCCCATCATCCTGTGCGCACCTCGATGACAAAAAAGTGAAGCAGTTGCTCGCATACGCTCGCTTCTGTGCGGTGTCCACACTCATCTCATACAAGCATGGCACACTCGTACTTTTTCCACCGTCTCCAGCGGCATCTCTGGTGCTGATTGAAGACGCCAACTTGCTCCCGCCTCCGCAGAGTAAGAGAGCCGAGTAGGCATGCGACACAACACCTACGTCTCCTCGAGATTTCACAACAGCGCTGGCATCGTTGACAAACGACGCTGGCTGGTCAGTCTCGCCTCCCGCGTCTTGGTGGGCTGTTGGCATGTTGTAAAGGAAGATGTATTGATATTTTAGTCAGTATGCGCTTACCGGGGACTTGACACTGAGTACATGATTCTGACAGCAGCGGTGAAATTACGACATTATTGCCGCAAAACTCAGCCAAGGTAGACGACATCAAAAGTGATCTACGGGGATGACTTTCGGTCTCAAGTTCGACGACAGCAAACACGCTTTCGGGGTGTGCCCGGCCTGCCTACCTTGCAGCGGTGGGAGTTCTTCGTAGCAGGCCATGACCCACATCAGCAAAGATTCGGGGTGAGGGTGGTCGGCCAAGAAGGTACTGCCGAGCATGGACCTAAGCACCCATCTACGCGCTGCGAAAGTTGTGGGGGGGTAAAAACGTGTTAGATCCTTGCTTGTTCGCTTCATCTACAACACCCCTGACGGGAATCGTATTCCGCAGCTGGCGGTATCAAAAGCAATGCGGACTGCAACTTGAATCGAACAGACTATGATGCGGTGTGTCCAACGCAGCGACAAGACACTTACTCACCCTGGTAGAGACGAGGCAGAATAGCACGGTGCGAAAGACCCAAGGCCTGAGCGAGACTATCTCGCTGCGAGTCGGTATTCAACCCCCCGACCACCTGCACGAAAGCCAGCCTTCGGTAAGAATACGAGTAGGGAAAAGAGGACGACGCACCTATAGTACCCCGCTTATTTTTCAAGCGTTTTCGATCTTCCTGCCCAAGTTCAAAACCGGGACGCTTTGGTATGGGCGTAAGGCGAAAAAAACATCGATACGCACCTGTGCCTGGACATCAGTGCATGGGTCACAACGAAGGAGGACACGATGAAAGGAGGAGGTCGATACATATTTGCAGCAAAACGTTTCTCCTCGACACGAACGAGGTTCACGCACCTGTTCAATGAAGATTCCCCATCCCATAATTTTATCAAGTTGTTCTTTGTCGACCGTGCCCAACTCGCGGGTTTGCGTAGAGTCAACCAAAGACTTGAACTTGAGGACGTGCCCGACAAATTCGTCGAGCCCGACACTGGAGTGCCACTGCTTTTGCTCCGGTGCCTGGGAAGCCATCTCCGGCGACGTTGTCCACCTATCACAAAGTGATGTTGCATCAAGAGGCGTCCAGCGGGAGTTATAAAACATCGGCAAGCACCACCCTCCCGGGGATGAAAGTGCATAAAGATTCACTTTGATACTCGCCTTTGAGTGGGATTGGCGGTTGCAAGGACACTGTTGAACTCGAGTTCGGACTTGCTTGCATGTCACAGCAATCGAGGAGGAGGAATCATGGAGTTAAAGAGAGCAAAATCGTCTATCCAGATGACCTTCCCCACAACAAACGACGCAGTTCTAGAGAAGAACTGCCGAAAAATAGTTGACAAAATGATGAGAGCGATGGCAAGGAGGAGGATAGTGAAAGCACTCCAAAACGAACTCGAGCGCAAATTAGGAGCCTTGGTATACACATGCAGTCTTCTTCTGTTGCTGCCATTTCTGTCTTTCATCCGGGGAATAACTTAGCCTCCCCCATGCTGCCCCCTCACGGGGTCCTAGTTAATGGCATCTAGAAGGGTTTTGTGTTTTCAACCGCACTGAGACGACGCCTTTTCATTGGTTAGCCCGTTAGCCCGGTCGATGAAAATAATAAGACACAATGACAGCGTAAGGTCAGCAACACCCGTGTCATGAGCTATCCCTGAGTCAGTAGCAGCACTGGTGTCGCCAAAGGCGGAGCAAGCGAGACGCTCTACCTGCTACCGCCACCCCAACCCCACCTTGGTGATAAGGAATGTGGATGGAACCATTGACTCTTCTCAGGCACTGCAACAACAAATTTTCCAGATTTCAGTCACACAACAAGGCGCCGCCCAAGCTGCCGCTGCATCAGGTTCGTCTTGTCATGGCTTAGCTGTGAGCTGTCACCTCCGCACAGCCATGTTTTTCGCGAACATGAGGATGGGCATTGGCGTGTTCCCCAGGAAAAGTCTCTCAGTGTCTCGGTGGTGCTGACGCGGCGGTATCGATTCCCTCTTCGGCTCTGGCTGCTTCGTGTTTGTTTCGATATTGGGCACCAGACTTCCCCGAAAGTCGGTACATTGGTAGATCTATCGTCGTTGTATGCATACAGCAGTAGTAACGGAAAACTTGATGACAACATCAAGACCCGACCGTTGACCTTTGGAGAACGTCGGTTGTCTGGGGAGGTGTGCGCACATGGACAAATTGGTCATGCACGTCGAATGTACCCTGTGGTTGGGCTGGTGAGCTGGTTCTGAATGCCCACAGCACGCTGGGTTGCACGGGATAAAAACTTGCGATGGTTAGACCGCAGTCTTCCGGACCCCGTACGCCATTGACAGCTACATAGGTTATCATGAAGATAGCATACCCAACCTATAGGGTGGTTTTTCAAATAAAAATGAAGCTAATGTTAAGAGTGTGTATTGGCGGGGGTGGGTACTCACTGCTGTGTGCCTACAACAGCAGTACCGTCAACATTCGAACGTTCCATGCCAACGTGCTTTGTATTGCCAACTTTCTCGGCGCAATAGTCTTTGGCCCTGTGAACTGACATCAAGACGAGAAATCAGCTGAAGGGTGCGTGCATGCATGTCTTGTTGGCCACCGTACAGGGTAACCGCTGCATGCATATCATACACGTGCGCAATGTATGATCACGTACATACAACAGCAGTAGACGTGACACCGTCGACTAGCCGAGGTGGCAGACGTGACTGGATCAACACATGCACCTACCGACTAGACCACCTCACCTCGTCTGACCCAATGTGTTATTCGAGCTGCCTCCCCGCCGCACTGCAGCACCGCGGCGACACCCAAACCAATTTACTTTACATCCGTCCTTGTACTTGCAGTACTGTTGCTTCCAGAACTATGGTACTGCTGTTGTTGTTGTTGTCTTCACCGTTCCGATCTCTCTCTACCCAGTAATATATGACTATAACAATCATGCATGATTGTCATATTAATAGTCATATATATACCATACACGCATAGTTCCGGAACGTTTTTTGGCGGGGGCGCCGCACAGAAATAATCTCTTGGGTGGGGTGCCTCGCCCGTCAGCTCGGTGTCCTTCATCCCCTTGCTGCTTCATCTGTCGGCGGTGCTCTTGTGCTGCTGGCTAGCAAGGAGCTGATGGGGAACGCAATTGCAAGTGAAACGCCAGTTCCTGATCCCACTTCGGCGCTGCTACACCTCAGGAAGGGAAAGAAAAACGTTGGTTGCCCATGTTTTCTGGCGGATGAGGCATCGACATGGGAGGCAGTAACACACGATCCTAGGTTTCGGCCCTATGTGTTGCGGCACCTCCTGGACGAAGGCTTCATCTGCTCGGTTCTGGAGCATGGCGAACGCGAAAACTCTCTCACTGCCTGTGCGGGCGTGCATTACTACAAGGTCGGTGGCAGATGGGCTTGAGTTCTGGTTGCCCTTGCGTCGTGTATCGTATGTGCGCCAACTGCCCGTGTTCTGCAGCTACAGCAGTAGTCGGTTCTCCGACAACTCGCTTGAAAGTAAAAAGTACGTCAACTCGACACCGGTCTGCTGTTTTGTAGTTGTACTTTCACTTGCCACCATAGTTCTGCATCCTTCGTTTTGTTGCTGGCGTATACGTGTGCTGCTTCGGGTGCAACTCTTGCGGGGGGAACAAAAAAGGGGTTGTGCTGCTGTTACGTAAAAAGTAGTTGTATTCATCCACCAATGGTTGCACAAAGGTTGAAATTGCGTCTATCAATAGCTTCATCGGCAGCTTGTGGTCTCATACTGCCGTGTACGATTGGACCACATGCAACCCGACATAGGTACAAAGAGGTTGTAGTGCAGCTCAGTGTGAATAACAGTACTCTGCATTTGTGAAAGCAGAGGCCGGTTACAATGCTCATTCCCCACAGACGCCCTACATGTCTGTTCTTCACCTTTCAGTACACGGAAGAGAGCCAGCGTGGCATTCTCAGAGAAAAACTCGACGCTTGGCAGCGCGCGGCTGGGGCGGGAGTGACGGCGTGTGAGGGTTTGAACTCTGAGTCGGCTTTTGGCGAGCTGCAGCTCGCACGACCGCTCCGCACATACGGCTTTCTACCGACGATACAGCGCAGGCTAGCTGTCCTGCGGGAGCTCGGGGCAGCCGTCGCCGAGGAGCACAGGTGCGCCGTGCTCGTGTAGAAAGAATGTCAGCTTCAGAGACCTCCGGCAGCGTAACCTAACCTATGTCCGAGCACTTGATCGGCGACGCATGAACTGCATGTCGTGTTGGAAGTCATTTGTCTATTGTAGTTTTCTTCAAAAAGCAAAAACTCCCCTCCGTCCCGCCTCCTGTTTCTCCTTTTAACTTCGGTCCGCCCCAGGTCTCGATGCCGGCCTTTTCACATGCGATCGAGGTCCCCACCGCCGCCTGCGGGAGTTAGTGCGCACGGAGATGTGTGCCTAGGTTTGATGATGAACTCGGTTGCGCTTCAATCACTTTCGACTCTTGCTTCGCTGGCCACGGTCCTACAAGCCGTTCCAGTAGGGGATGGAAGTGGACACGGCAGCGTGGATCTGATTCGGGCACCCTTTGCCATGCTAGCTGATCTGCTGGAAAAGTTTCCCCCGCAAAACTTGGTGAGGAGGTGCTTGCGGCTTGAGGGTTGCGTCGTGGTTGTTGTGTGTACTTGGCTGCCGACAGGCGCATCCCCCCTAACGACTGCTCCCCTCTAGTGTAGGGACGGTGCTTGTGTAGGTTGCGTGTGGGCTAGCTGGAATCATCATCCGTATTTGCCTACCAGTGCCTACAACACACACGCTCAGTACTGTTCGCGATGTTCGAGCATTTGCTCTTTTGGAATCGTTTTTCTGCCCCCAGTTCAAGTACTGGAGCCCGCTCCCCTCAGAACCGGAGAAAAAATTGCCTGTTGACCCTGAGACGGCCACAGCTAGCTCTTCCGCTTCGTTGGCAAGGCTCGCTGTCACTGGTGGGGTGCATGTGGGGTGGAGGTCAACCCCCACTGGTTCGAGCGTCGTTACTTGGCAGGTGCGTGTATGCATGTGGCGGACGATGTGTTTCTGTCATGAAAGCGTCGAGTGTCCGATGTGTGAAGATGAATTCACCCTTCAACTCGACCGAACCGCTGTTCCGTTGGAGTTGCCTTGTTGACGTTGGCTGGTAGTACATATCTGCGAGATTGGATTGACCCATCGCCTATTGGCTCTGGAGAAATGATCCCGCCATTGCTGTAGTGGTAGTCGGTTTTTCGTTTTTTCCTGGTGCGATCGACTCCATCATTCCTGTTGTTTGGTGTGCATAATGGAAACCCTTTGAAAACCTTGCAAATTCATTCAGCCAATTCATTCAGCGCTGCGTGCGTTGGCATTGCCGCAGGTGGCACTAAGTGCACCAGCGACGGACCTTACATCGGTCCAGGTGCAGTGGAGGGCAGGGGATCCCTCCATCGGCACGGACCAAAACGCGCTTACGCTTGCACTTAGTATTGAGGCTTCTGTAGACGGAGGGAAAGAGTGGCACGGGATAACAGGTGGCGATGAGGCGGTAGATGTTGCCCTTGCCCACAAGGCATCGCCAGGCTCGTCACAGCATCGGTACCCGGTGTCGCTTCTCGCCTTGCGCAGGAAAACGTGAGTGGACGTTGAGCCAAGTGTTGATTGTACCAAAGGGAAACGCACAAGCCTTTGTAGCACAGTTGCCTGGCGTTCGAGGCAACCCAAGATGCGACCATTTTACTCGAGTACATAGCATTAGGCGCATCTCGGTGGGGCTTAGGCGCTGAGGGTGGAGAACGATACAAGTCTCGGTTGCAGGAAAGCAGAACTGCTAAACAGATGTAGTGTTACCATTGTGCATGGGGCGGTGGGGATGACGGCTTCGTTCTTCTCTGACAACCCACGATGTCTTGCAGGGAGCCCCGGCGGAAAGCATTGGAAGGTCGATCTCATGATGCCATTCCTGCAGTTACACACGTCCGACTCAAAATGAGAAGGGCGCTAGGCGGCAGACCGGGCGGGGCGCTGAGTATCTACGACGTTGCGATCAATGCCCGAGACCCCTCTGCCAGGTCAGACTTCGTGTAGTGTAAAGTAAAACGCTGTGTCGAGTGGTGCAATACGCTTCGATACATCGATACATCGATACATGTATGCCACTAAGACCACGTCTTACAGATACATCGATACATCGATACATGTATGCCACTAGGACCACGTCTTACACTCAGGTTTTTGGGGATTGGATGTTGTTCAAGCGTCTTGATCTTGGCCAAGATTTCCCCAATAGTCTGTTTCACCGCCACGGGAAGAAGTCTCCCCGAATTTTTTGACTGATATTTTGCAAATGGCTGGACTCTTCTCGATCAAGTCTTGCCGTTTTCTGCAAATCGAATCGATGTCGGACATGTTGAGTAGGGAGTGGCGAGGCACGAACAGATCCGCAGATTTCTATCAACCAAGTGGTCAACTGCGTAATTAATTGTGAACTGGGAAGAGTCATACACGGTTCTCAAGCACCCGAAATATTTGGGAGAAACGGTTTTTGGACAGCGTCGTGTCCCAAAAATATTCCAGGGACATGTAGTCCACGCATGGTATAACGATCGTCTCTTGCAAAGATGTAAAAGTCTTGGCATGCTACATACAACGCTGTCACCGCTCGCTCTTTCTGCAGCCCGTCGGATGTGATGACGGTACTGCGCGAGCTGCAGACGTTCTTGCTCGCCCGGCATTCGCGGGACGAGGCGGCACTTCAGGATTACATTTTGCGGGCGCTGCTTGGTGTGTGCCAGGTGCGCGTGCTTTCTTGTAATTCTTGCAACAGGCCCATGTAGGGTGTACAGTTTGAGGAAGTCGATAGATAGCTTGGTACCAGTGGATAGTTGTCCCCGGCCGCCCGAGGGCTGAATTTTTTCCTTCTCGTGTGGTATTGTTTTTGGGTGAATGTACTCAGGCCTCCTGCGCCCTGGAGTTCGAGCTGGACCTCGTCCGAGTGTACATGGACATGGAGAATTCTAGCAGTCCGAGTCTGCTGGGGGAGGAAAAATGCGGCGGCGAGTCTACGAGCGGCGCGGCAAGAAACCAGACCGACAAGCTTGGGCGAACGGAAGGGCTGCAGGCGTTCGTGTCAACTCTCTTGTCAGCTGCGTCTCGCGCAAAACGTCAAGCGTGCCGCCAGGATCGGGAACGAGTCATTCGTGACGCGGCTTTCGACCCAGCCCTGTCGTCCAAATGGGTTGTGGTGAGCGAAGAGGGGCAGCTGGTTTCCAGCGCAGCGGACAACGGTTATAGTCATAGCCTCCTTCACCAGTGCTTGCGCCGAGGGACGTGGTCTTGGGAACTTGCCTTGGAACGAGAGAGCAGCGGCGACGAGACCACCTGCGTAGGTGTGGCGGTCAACCCAGTGACGAACTCCTGCTACGAAGACTCCCATCAGGTAGGCAACCTCCACCGGTGTCGATCGCGTATGTTTGGCTATGTATCGAGAAGAAGCGAATATGTGACGGCTCTGCTGTAGGTTCTCGAATCACGCGATGTCGATTGCTACCCCGTTGCAGCGCTTGAAACGTTCTGCCCCTGATTGATGACCCTTGCTCCTATCTTCAGATGTGGATGGTCCGTTGCTACAGCGGAGAAACATACAGCAATGGTGGACGCCGCAATCGCATGACCCGAAAAATCCATCCGCTGGATTCGGTACGCCTGACACTAAACTGCGAATGTGGCACGCTTTCTTTGGAGGTCAACGGGGTGGACCAAGGCGTGGTTTTCTCAAACGTACCGCCGGAAGTTCACCCGGCGGTATGCTTCTATGGGGTCGCCAAGTCGGTTCGGCTGGTAGAGCTGAAGCGTATCTTCGGAGAGGGCGATGACGATGTGTCAGACAGCGACGATGAGATTGACGCAGAAGCGACGCCGACCCCACCGGCTGCGCAGCACGAACACCAGCCATCAGCAGAAACTGTGGCCGACACTGGTGACGGTGGTGACGGCGATGCGTCTGTCAGTCCGGCCCAAGATGTTCGTGCGAAAAAGGAGGCCTGCGTCGATGCAGATGGCGTGTCGCCGGAGCCACTAGACAAAGCAAGTAGGCAGAAGACTGCACGGCGCGAGGCAGAAGATGTCGCGTCAACCATTCGGGCCGCCACAGCTGCCGCACCGTCAGCGGGCCTCCTTGCCAGCCTGGCGAACGTCGCTCAGTGGTACGTTCCACACGATCAAGAAGGAGACCAGCTGGGGCCCGCGGAGCACGGGCCTGGCCGTCACGGATTAGGGCGAAGCAGCATGACACCAGTGCCGGGCTCTGACCCTGTGGCGCAGAGGTTTCCAGGTGAAGCTGTTTGCCCTTAGTATGCTTGTCGATCCTCCTCGCACTAATGCTCACGTCAGCCACGTTGTGTAAGTACGTCCCGCGAAAACGTCGCTGAGCAGTTGTTGTTGTAGCAGTAGGCAATGCTGTGGACTTGCACTCACTCACATGAGCGTGTTCGGATACCTGTCTGACTTCGCGTATGCTCCTTTGCAGCTGCACCTGCTCCCAGCACCGGGGGCTGGGGTGATGTCCGGAGTGAGGTACCGCCCGACGCTGGATCAGGACGGCATCTGGGGTGAGTGCCAAATTAAGAGCCTATGCGGCTCCATGTACTGTGACGTTAGAGAAAACGGAGTACTTGGCTCCCATCTACTCAAGCTCATGGTTTTCCAGGGTGTCTCATTTCGCGCTGCCGCTGTTGGTCTCCTCGCTGTCTACAACCTTGGCAGTACCAACCCGAACGATCTGTTCATGGACTTCAGTCTGGCTGTGCGGCAGAGCAGCAGCGGCTTGTTCAGCAGCATGATACCGGGTCGGCCGGTGCCGGCCAGAAGAACGTCCACCACAGCGGCCGGGACCAGAACCGCCCGCAGCATTTTTGCGAGAGGGGAGGTGGCCGAGCACAGGCGAGTGCCAGCCCCAGCTACGACTACTGCCGTTGGCGTCGAGGCTCCCTCGCGTAGAAAGGGCAAGCCGCTTGCGCTGGAGGAGCCGTACATTATCCAGCCTACCGCGGCTGTTTTCCAAAAGCTTTACGCGCTACTTGTGAGGTCCCTTGCCCGACTTGATGACGGTACGGATGCCGACAAGACATCTACCGCATCATCGATCCTGTCGCTCCTTCAGATCATGCGCGCCAACTTCTGCCGCCTTGTAGACGCACACGTGGATCCAGCGGAAGTCGGACTGTTGCTGAACTACCACAGGCATGGGGTTGGGGCGGCTTCAGAGGCTTCGGAGCAGAGTGGAGACGAGAAGCTCTTGCCAGACATTTTGCACTGTCTGCAAGGTATCATGCTTAAGCAGGACGGCGATCCATCACTTTTGAAGGCCACGGTCGACACTTTTACCAGTGGCCTTCCTCTCTTGATGCCACTTGTGCAGAACCGGTTGCATCTCCTGCTCGGATTGGTGTGGCATCTGCAGTCTAGCGCGGGGGTAGTTTGCGACGTACCTGAGGGACTGGGCGCTGCAGGGGACCTGCCCGACTTGACTTCCACAGGGCGCGATGCATCAACACCGTTGGCACAGGTTCCACCAGAGCGAGTAACTCTTTTACGAGATCTATTGACCCACTTCGCTCGAACAGATTCTGTGTTGCAGCTGCTCACCCTGTTTGAGGAAGACGAGGCGGAGCGAAGTGCGGTTACAGATCTGTTGGAATTGATGCTCACATCCATGGCCGACAGGGCATGTCGATGTGCCTCCCAACACGGGAAGGGAAACAGCGCCGGCAGCAGGTCGCGACCAGGCAGTGGTGAATCGGACAGCGGTCCGAACAGCTACTGGGACCAACTGGTGGCCGGCGGGGCTGGAGGAACGACGCTCAGCTTCACCTTGCTCGACACATGCCAGCAGCACCTTTTGTGCATGGTCTTGGAACGGGATTGCACTGGGAATGATCCATACGAGCTTTTGCTGTGTCAATATGGCCAGTGCCTCCTGCAGGTACGGCTTCCGTGGGTTTGATGAACAGTATACGCTTTTGTGAGAAAAAGTACTCTCTTGTGAATAATTGACAATACTGTAGGTCGATTGGAAGAGTGGGCTCCATGCGGACACATTCAAAGTGAAGGAAAGACGTAGTCTTAAAAGCTTTCCGAGAAATTTGAGAACTCGGGAGACGGGTGATTGATACGTGGATGTTCCGCTTGCTGCTTGCTGACATGCATGAACGGGCTGACCATGGACTTTCCCTCCTTGCTCTCCTTGCCCAGATATCAACGGCGAAACCCTGCCTGCCCTCCGTAGCGTTAAGTTACCTCGACCTTAGGATTACTCTGACACGTCGCCAATGGAAGGAACCTAGTTAAAATCGTTCGCTTTGTATCTTTTATTGCATGTATCCACCAGTGGTGTCTTGAAATTGTAGTCGCGCGAAAGATGCCCTCATTGACACTATCTTATGTGACCCACGTATGTACTTCACACCTCTATTGTTTGTCCCCGAACGTGTCATGTGCGGGTTGCGATCAACTACACATGCATAGGTGTGCTGCCGTGTGCTGAGCGCGGAGTGTCCATGGACTGAAACCGAAGCCGAGAACGACGAAAGCCCGTGGTGGAAGCTGGTTGGCGCACTGCTCGCACCGTTCCTTCATGGCCTCTGCATGTGCGTGGACCGCCCCAGGGTTGCGGAAGGCATGCTTCCGTCTTTGGTAAGTGCTGGTGTTCTACTCGTTCGATGCTGCACTTTAGTTCCCGGCCGAGGACGTGGGTTGCCTGTCGTGGAGTACCCCATGCTCTTACGCTGTTATTTCCCTTTTTCTTGTGCCCTCCCTTGTCGCCGCATTAGGTGCGTCTTTCGGAGGTGCTATCTCACCGTATCAGTATAATTCCCAGGGAGGCGGCGGCGGCTTCATTCGCAGAAGATATTTTGCGGCGGACCCAGCTCACGAACCCTGAGGAAGGCCTTGCCTTAACTCCGTCTGGATGGCATCCAGTCCGGGCGTCCTTCGAAGTGGATAAGGTGACTCCAAGTGCAGGGGGGCCTAGGAACCTACCGGTTCGGAGTGTGTTTCCGTACCTTGTATCCGGTGGAACTTGAAAAACCCGAGTTCATTCGGCGGTGAACGATAAATCGAGCAGCTCCGTGGGTGGTGCGGTTTTTCTTTTTGTACGATGGTCACTGGATTCAACCGAGTTGTTTGTTTTTTGCCGTTGAGCTACTGGCTTCAGCTGTATGTGGTCGAACGAATGGTACGTTGCATATACACTCTAGCAGCCATGGGCCTGAGCATTCGAGCCGTTCGAGTGCCTTATTTCCTGTTGCGTGGCTTTGTGCGACGTTCAGCACGCTCTGCCACACGTTGACTTGAATCCATGGTACACTGCTGTATCGGTATCTCACACCACTCTCCGACGAACGATGGCTGGAACCCGGACGCGCGTGTACTTGGCCCACAGGATAGCATGACATCCTTTTCCATATCGGAGGACGGTCAGCTTTATTCGGCACTGACCTCAAACAACACATGCGCCCTTTTGGACGTCGGCGTATCACACGGAAAGGCCGCATGGGAATTCCTGCTGGAAGATGATAGCCCCAGGTACGTCTACCAAGCAACGGACAACAAATCTGTGTGTTCCTGAAGGTACCTTATGACAAGGGCGTTTACGCCGCTACCACGGTACGTGGCTAGGCATCCCGTTGGTCTGTGTGCGGTATTTCGATCAACCAGGTGTGCTGGTGCTGTGCAACTGACCGAGCAGAATTGCTAATGGGAGGGGTTTTTTGCCGACGACGCGTGGGATAATTCTTGACCGATTGCCCTGTGTCTTCTGTTTTCCACGTCGGGCCTGCTCTCACCCACGCAGTGACGAGTGCTCCGTGTTTGGCATCGCCACGAGGCCCCCGTACAGCCGTTGCTACAATTCCAGCCAGTCTTTGTGGATGAGGCGAGCGTACAACGGTGTTTTGTACAATCGTGGACGCCAACTCCCTGCGGGGCAGAGCATGTCCAAAATACACCCTGGGGACGTGGTACGATGCGAAGTCGACATGGACGAAGGGACACTGAGATTCAGGTGAGCCATCCCAGGAGCGTGATGGCCCTTCGCAGACACTTCGAAGACGCGTGTGGAGGTGATACAGGTGATAACTGTCCTTTATGCCAGGACCTTTTGCGTTTTGCATACGATTTCCGGGCCAAATGTCTCCGGCAGTTGCGTTCTGCAGTTCGCGTGTGTTGTATTTTCAGCATGCAAAAGGAGGGATTTTTGTCAACAGTTTGGTCTTTGCCCATTCCATACCATGGCGAGCTCCCTATGTCTCACCTGCGCGCATCTCATTGCTCGTTTCGTCGGAACAATCTGCTTCAGCGTCAACGGTGAGAAACAAGACGGAGGCTTCGACGACGTCGAGGGCGAGGTATTCCCCTGTGCTGGAAGCTATCGGTCTGGTGTTAAGATTCGACTTCTCAAGGTAGGCGTGAACCTTGGTGCCTTGGAAGAGGTTCGTGTCACGCCGGAGTACTTGTTCACAAAGTGTACCGACAGTAGCACACACAGCCCGTCAGCATGAAACCCCGACGAACGCTACGTTCTCGCAAGCCAAGTGTTTTCTTCGTGCCGGTGCCTAGCTTGTGTTCTACAAACACCCTGGCACTCCGGGAACACCCCCCACCCGGGTGTAGTGGCGGTAGGAAGCAAGAGCGTGTTTAATCGGAACGTCTTGGTAGACCTCACGGCAAAATCCTTTCCACGCGGCCTAAAACGAGGAGACGCAACATGCATGGTGGTGACGACCGCTGCTCGCAGTAGCATTTGTCCAACTGTCTAGCGCCCTTGCCTTCGTGACATGGCCGGCCTCTACTAGATGGAAATTTTGGGAGGGATCGGCCTTGGTAGAGGAGGCGATCTTGGCGCCGCAGCTGCAGGTTCGGACCCAACGGAGGTAAGGATGTCCGTGCTGCGATAACTCTCTGGGCACGGGGCGTTTCGGGGGTTTAGTTGTGCGTGATCATAGGGGCATACCAAGCCTACTTAGCGGCAGTGGGAGTCTCTCCTTGTGCCATACTGGACAGGATTTCCTTTTCACATTTGTTACTTGTGCAAATCGAAACCCTTCCGACGCGTACGATCATGGTCGGACTCGCTCAGGAACCGTTGCCTTCCGTGGTTGGCTCAGCCTGTTACACCTAGACGGGAACTGTATCCATACAGTATTAATAGCCGTGCCGCATATGTTGCGAGTACTGTTCCGAGTCATGCCACATCCGAATACGAACACAAATGCTTCTCCCCGCCCGATTATATGCCTGCTCTTTGAATAGCGCTCTTCACAATTACTCACAAGAGCAGTTGTATGTGACTGTAATTTGATTTCTAATGATGACTGACCCAATGAGCGCGTTTCGCACCGTATATGGCTCGCTATTTCCGGGTCAAATTGGGGGCCAACTTTCTCCTCTGTGGCTCAACTTCTGGAAGATTTCTTGGGCTCCTTCGCCGTGCTCAAAGCGAACGCGGAAAGGGCTGGTTGCCATCGACAAGAAGGCCATGGAAATGAAGAGGATGGCCACATCATGCAGCCTGCATCAAGCATGGGCTCCTACTCGCCCGGCTGTGTCGAACGCGGCTGATTCCCCCAGTGAAGCCAAAGCCGAACTCGAAGGTGAAGGTGGTTCTGACAACGACTCCGCTCCCTCGACCACAGCTGAGCTCTCACAAACTGCTGGTCCTCCAGGATCGACGGGTAAGGAGGGCATGACATCGCCCGATGCCCATGCAGATGTGGGAAGAGTTGAAGTGGCCGATGTTGAAGCGTGGGACTGGGTGTCGGTGCGGGCAACGCGAGGATTCGCCGCCCTCGAGGGCAAGCATTCCGTAGAGATGGAGGTGACACCGGTCGGAGCAAGAAGGAGGAGGGCGGTTGGCAGCACCAAGTCAAGCGGCAGCGAGGATAGAAACACTCTCAGGTGAGGAGGTCCTGGCTCGTGCACGTACCCAATTCGACAGTTGTCAGCCGTTTGGCGACTCCGGTTCAATAAAGTATGGAGCGCGCGATGCGCGACATATCCCATCATACGTTTGTGTTTTCGCGACAATTTTTGGGGTTTTGTGTAATTCGACACGGCCGGGAGCAGAGACGTGTAGCTTTTTTTTTTTTTGCCGCCCTTCGCCATGGCTGACTTCCATGCAGCGAAGTGAATTGCCGAAAGTGCCTCATCCCACCAAAGACGCGGTGGTGTTGTGACCACAGGATCGTGTACGTAGAAAGGGAGGTTGTTTTCCCCAGAGGTTTCGTGTCATCTTTCATTTTCATAGATAGGGTATATATTGATTACGGTTATTCCTGTCGCGGTCTCTCCATCGTCTTGCCCCAGAAGGAGGTACCCGATGGCGTTCGGTCTGTGCGCTGGAACGATTCGTGCACTCGACGCTCCCATTGGCCAGCTCAGAGGGAGCTGGGGCTGGTGGACGGACGGATCCCTGCGAGCGCACGGAAAAGTCTTCATTCCGACTGAGGTACGTATTTTGCAGACTCTTCGTTACGATAAGCAAAAGCTGACTTCTTTGGCGGTGTTGAGGACGAAGTATGTAAACTCGATGGCGCCGTTCTAGCCTTTTCGACGACTTTATTGTGGTGTTATCCGTATTTTTAGAAAATGCTTGAAATGCAGCGCTACGGTTTGAGTGCGATTTTTTCCCGCCCACCGACTTCCATCTTGCGGGGTGACGTCCTGCGCAGGCTGCTGGTGAGACCCTTTACGGATCGGAGTTTCTGCCGCTGAAGCCGTTGGATGTGATCACCATGGTCACCGATACTGTTGGAGGGACTCTTCGCTACCTCGTTAACGGAATGGATGCTGGCATTGCTTTCGGACCGGCGGGGTCTGGGGCCGTCTGCGAGTTGCCTGATGGGCAGGCGCCGTTTGAATGGGATGCCGGCACTGCATTGTTTCCGTCGTGCAGCTTGACGAACGACAAGCAGGTTCGTTGGAACGTCGGCGCGATGTTTTGACACCTCGAGTACATTGGATCGTTTGTAGGCTGGATTTACCTTGCTGAAGGTTCGGAGAAAGCTTCGTGTGGAGCTTTGCTCGTGCGCTGACATGCCAACGCGCCCTTCTGTCGTAACTAGTGCCCAATGGTTGTGCTTCGGAATGAGCTTGACCTCCCTGCCTTTGAATACCAGCGCCCGCGAGCAATGACATGTGAGAGGAACCGCGTGTTTTTTTTTGTTGTGCGTGCAGAGAGCAACGTCAAGTTTAAGGTTTGACTCTTTGATTCCGATGTATCACACGCGATGGTTTTCAGATGGTCCAACTTCGACCCGGAGGTACCCTGGGCACGCAGCTTTGGCCTCTATCCGTCGACCTGCACAAGACGGTTGCATCGCTCGTGGGCAGACTGTGCGCGACCTTGATTGCAGGTATGCAGGAGTTCGGAAGTCGCACGAAGATGACTAGGCCCACGCTGCTCATACATCGGCACGATAAGCTTGAGAGCTGCGTTTCACAGCTTCGTGTCTCAAAGCTTACATGTATACAAAGTGTCACGAATATTCGATCACCAGAACATACAAAAGTAGTTCATCTCAACACCTCCCCGTATACATGTACTGATATGTTTACTGGTTAGTATCGTCGTAGAGGACCTATGCCTGAGAGTTAGCTCTTGCTGTGTTCTGGCGTCATGATCAGGAACCCCCCAAGATGGAGCGGAGACTGCCCTTGAGCCATGGCTGCGATCGCCGCTGCTCAGCGGGGGAGTGAATGCTCCCGAGGACATGGTGGGAGAGTCTGTGTGGCGACGTCTTGGCCACCGATCGTGGGACCAGGCGTGGAGCGCAGAGCAGCAAGGCCGACTAGGTGATGCGCGCCCTGCGATGCCTCGCGCCGACTTTGATCCCACCGTTGCGGAGAAGTTCGTGAGTGGCGATACACGACCGCGGTCCGTGCCCGACGGCGGCATTCGCCTCACAGCGCGGATCGTGGAGGCGACGAAGATGCCACAGGGGTTGGTTCTGTGGCCAGATGCGCCATGCGTTCGTCTGACTGCAACAGTTGACGGTCGAAGTGTCAGCTGCCAAGAGGAGCCTCTGACCGTTTCTAAACCAAGCTCACCGGTGACGTCTCGTGAAAGGGTAGAACTAGACCAAGAGGAAAGTTCCAAGACGCACGCCGATAGCCGTCCAGGGCAGGGGGAAGTCGAGCTGGAGCTCCGCTGGCCGCAGATGCAGGCGCTGATCGATGGCGCCGACGAGGACGAGTACCTCCCCGCTTTGGCGCTCCGAGCAGAGGTATTGGTTGGCAGAGTGGTTACAGCTGCGGGAGAGGTAGACTTGAGCGGGGAGCTGAAAGCAAGCGTGTCGGGGGCCGGCAGCAAGCGCACGGTGCTGACCTTAACCGGTGGCGGCGAGATGGTGTTCGCGCTACAGTTTCACCTAGCATCGGTTTCGCCTCAAAGTCCACAAGAGGCGCAGCAGCCACAGAGAGAAGGAGGCGTGCCGACTTTGTCGAGTGTTTGCGAGGATGGACACTCTCAGACGAACGACAAGTCTGTGGAGGTTGTACCCATCGACGCCCGCCTCGAGCACTTCCTTGAGAGCATCGCTGGGCGGGGTTCAACAGAGGCTGGGAAGTGCCCTGCCAGCAGGGTCGACTCTAGTAGGTCTCCGGTGGTTTGCTCTGCTGCTGAACCACCCTCGGTCGGCGTTGCCACGAGAGATTCTTCCCTTGGAGGCAGGAGGAAAGCACCAGAGGATGGAGATCAATCCTTGCTTCCCGATCTGATGGACTGGCTTGGGCGTTCTAATCCCGATCCGGCCTTCCTTCGAATGGCGCTCGAGAAGACCGACAGCTATTCGTTCCCGCTTGTAGAGGCACCGTTTCTAGCGGCTTTACTCAAGCATGGTGGACTTGTGGGCGAGGCCTTTCACGCTGCAGAAATGATGTCGGCGGCAGACAAAGGCAAGAGGGCCCTGGCCTGAGCCGTCTTATGATCGGTTCCAGAAAAGTGTTGACAAAGTTAGTGTTTGACACATCTGTACGGGGCGCGAGAAAACTGTGGAGGTTAATCGCTCGAAGCATGTATTCTCGTAGCGGGGTTCGAGATATGAGTGTTAAAGACTGTGGGTTCCAGCAAAAAGGTCGAAACAGGGAGGTGATCGCTTGTGCCACGTTTTTTGTTGTCCTCGCACTCACGCTGGATTACTTTGGCTTTTGCTTGTGCACAGAGGCTGGCATGGGGGCTTCCCTACCAGTCCCAACCAAGGACATGGCGAAACTCTGGGCGCGGGTTCGACAGCTACGAGCATTTCTGCGGACGCAAAAGCAGGAGTACAGGGTGAGCACTGCTAACCCACTGCCTGTAAACTTTTAACATGGACATCTCGCAACACGCACCTGGCTTGAGTGGAGAGCACATGACCGTCAACCACACTGCCGCGTATGACTCTTGAAGTACCGAGCGTTGCCGTTTTACTCTCGACGTCCTGGCCTGTCTCAGGTGACAGCAGTGGAAGGCATTCCGAGCGAAGCCGATGTTGCCAAAGGCGGAGGAGCTCCAAACCGTGAAACTGAAGACATGCCTGAAGCTCGTGAAGTCTTGCAGGACGAAAAGAATGACGTCGAGGCGGAAGCGGAAGAGAAGGAGGCTTTATCGAGCGATGCACAAGCAGTCGATCGGGAGGCAGTCCCTTCGACTTTCGATGACCTGTGTCACCAGATGGCGGAGAGAGCGAAGTTCTTGCTGGAGGTGATGTTTGATACGCCTAATTTCGAGGCGATTAGATCTTCACTGCAAAGCTGTTACTCTGGGCACGCCCCGCTGCTCAATGTCCGTGTAGCTCGACACACGTGTGGCATGTTTCCACCCTCTACTTCACCCACAACCGCTCGTGGATTGCGTGTGCTCTACTTCTTTGTGCTCTGTTGCCGACAGTTGTCGCCTTCGACGGTTCAATCTCCGGGTGCCGCTGCCGAAGGCACGTCGGCTCTCATGCAGCATTTGGCGGAGGAGATATCGGATCTTCCAACGCCATCTCCCGGGAAGTTGCGGTCTCGCCTGCTGCGATGGCGTTCCGAGGACCGGGGGAACGAGCGATGGAAAGGGGTAGTTGACGTGCTGCGCGTCCGAAGCCAGGTGACAGACGGGGCGCGCCGCGTGGGTTCCTCGGTTGGACTGCTGTTTCGCGTTAAAGTGTGTGTTTACGCGCACCGAACAGCATCCTGACAAACCTAAGCGACACGACGTTGAGCAGCGCCTGACCTCCCCCTGTTTCTCGCACACGATTGCCACGTTGAACGGTGTTTACAGCTTCGGCGAAGCTTGTCCAGCGCCCATCGTCCGCGTGCCAAGAGCTTGGGGAACAGACCCGCGGAGATAGCGGTGCTACACGGTCACGGTCACGGACTCGGGGCTGAGTGAGTTTTGGAAATGATTACAGCAAGCAGTGTGCTGGAGTCTTGGTCGTTCCTAAGATCCGCACCCTCGTTGCGGTGTACTGACGTAGTCCATGGATGCTTGTTTCTGAGGAATATTATGTAGCCTGATGGGCTGCTGGCAGATATTGTCGTGCAATGTGCGTGCCACAGTCTTATTCGGGCAGGATCTACTTGTGCGGTGGTCCCAGGCGAAACGTGAACAACCCGTGTATCGAAGAGGGCCAAGCATTTGCCGAAGAAGAATCTTCTTCACTTGCTCGTGACTCGCCGCGAGCCCGTACCTGCAGCTTGGGGCTAGTGGGTGAAGACAGCAGCGTATGCAGTTTAGGCGACGATTCTGACGATTCAGGGAACGGGCCCCTCCTTGATAGCGAGACCGCTGCGAGTGCAGCTATCCAGGTGAAGGGCTGTATGGTCGATGCTTCCCCTTCGACGTCGCCCTGTCTTGTTGCTGAAGGTTTCTACCCGCATGGGGTATTTATCAGTTGTCAATATTCTATGTTGCACTTCGGGGATGCTCTGCGCAAAACGTTAAGCTTGCCATCGCCAGCGCCAAGGGAAGGGAAGGGAGGGGCGTTTCGAAAATCGACCACACCACAGTATACTCCGGCACCACACAGGCGGTGGGGAGGGACTTCTTTTGAGTTTGAATATACCCTGCTCGTCGGACCGTTTGCCGGTGTTTTTTCTATGATTTCGATTTGTTTTTTGTGGAGGGTGCTACGAACACAAGGGTCTCGATTACATCCGTGGAGAATACCATGGTGGCGCTGTTTGGTACGTATGATTAAATAGCTATGTTAACACTAGCATACGCGACGCTACTTCGAATATTTGGCTACTGCCTACGAGGCCTAGAGAGTCAAGAGCGACCTTTGTCGATTAGGCAACTTGTGATCTTCATTGAGAAGTGACGGACCGCAATGTCACGTCCATTCTCGACCGACTCAACCGCCGTGCCAGGCATGTACAGTCTACGTGGTTACGGGCGGTGCGGTCGCAACACCGCAAGCCCTCAAGGCGTCTCTTCGCAGTCGTACTGCTCGGGCTGCCATGCGGACATTCGGCCTGCAGGCACTGGCGGCGTTGCTTGGAACTCTATGCCCGGCTGAACAGGGGGCCATGTCGGTGGGGACATCGTCTGCTGTGCAGGTAAGCCGCTGATGGTACATCGCCGCTTTACGTTGCTTGACGGGCTCAGGTGTGCAGTGCGCAAGGTGCTTCTACCCACATGGTGCGACCATGGCCCATTACCCTGTGTACTTTTTCCTATAGATCGATGTTGAGGAAAATATGTTGTCTCGCCCTCGTCCAGAGGAGAGCTGGAAGCGTGCTCAATATCAGATGGGCCAATACTATACCAAGTACCACTTACCGGTTAGTGTACCGACATGGCGCCCTTTTTAAGTACACTCACGAAGGCCACTGATTTGTGTTTCGTGGACGGTTTGCCCTGCTCTTGTGGACAGGAAGCGCTTGTGTTCCTGCGACCAGCTTTCCAAGGGCTGCGAGTCAAGCGGGACAAGGAAGGAAAGGAGGTAACGCCGAGTACCGCGCACAGAGTGGCGGGTGTCAAAGCTGCGAGTCACCTAGTGGTGTGCTGGTGAATCGCCGAAAGTCTCGTCTGTAGGCGACTCAACTCGCCAATTCTTTCGTGTTGCGTGTAACTCACGGTAGCATTAACCATCTATTCCTCTTATCCATCCATGCCGCGCCAGGTGGAGATAACCAGCGATGCGCGCGACACTCGGCATCACTACCTCAAGGGGCTCGAAGGGTGCTCCGCGGGTTTGCTGGCACGAGTGCAGGGTGCTTTTGAAGACCTCTATGGACAGCTGAGAACGTTGCTCGATCATAGCATTCGCACGGGACAGGTGACAGCTCTCAAATTTCATCGTTGTCTGAAACGAACTCAGGTCACGCGATAAATAATCTCGCCTCCGTTTTGCTCAATGTATCCCCGATCACGATGTGCTGACTCGTGCATTATCGCCCGTTCTGTGTCTGGGCTTTCGTGGTCCCCCGTCGGTGTCGTTGTCTCGTCGTCGCCGGTGAAGCCCGGGTTGGCCCATGTGCTGATGACAAGCTGGGCTTTGGACTTCGAATCGCGCGACTACCAATTCCTAGCGCAGAAGTCCGGGATTCTTCCCACTCTCCAGGCGATGGTGACTCTCACGAACACGGCGTCACTGGCCAGCTCTAGCCTTGACAGCCTCAACGATACATCTCGCGGGCCGCAAAAGGAAACAACGGATTCGAAAACCTCGGTGACGGCGCTCCAGAGCTGGACCCCTTGGTCGCTGGAGACCGTAAGGAGTGGCTTCTTGCAGGTGGGACGCGATAAGGGCATGAAACTGAATGGTACTGTTGTTATGGAATCGGTCGTGTTGTTTGTAAGGGAATGAGGGGTCATTAACGGAGGTTGGTCACTCAACAGATGATGATGATCACGTATAGTGAGGGCCCATGGTTGTGGAGAGTGTTTTTGTGGCGTCCGTGGGTTTGATTGATGCTCGGAGTAGTATTTATGTATGACGGGCTTTGTCTCCCTACCTCCCTCCCTACGGACGCGAACTGGTTCAGGGCACACTTATGGCACGTGATTTGGCACGCCATATCAGCCGTGTCCCACCGTCAGCCCTACCCTCCGGGTTCCTCGAAGCGGCTGGCTTGCACGGGTCTGCGTCCGATATCTTGGGGCGACACTCTATGGCGGCTCTCCTGCGGAGGTACAGTGCACTGTTGCGCGTTCATCTCGAGCATGCTGAAGCGAGGGTGACGAAGATGGACCAGGAAGCGGCGTCGAGGCGAAAGCGCTTAGAGGTGCGTGATCGAGGCCCAGGAGAGTGTGGGTTTATAACATGGTATGCATCGGGTACAGGTTTCTCTGTGACCGTCAGCTCGAGCGTCGATGCTGTGAACGCTTATCATTACATCGTTTGCATTACAGCAGTCGCTGGCAGCACTCGTCACTCTCTCACGTCATGTTGCGTATCGATCTTGAAAGATGAAATGCGTTCTTGCTCTGTGGGCAGCCTTGCACCCTTTGCTGGTATGTTGTCTCAAGCGCACCCCCGCTACCGCTGTGGCATGTCGCTCTTCCTCGGAACGCTTCTCCCCTCTCGAGCGCAGGAACTCGGGCGTGAACGCGTGACTCAGATGGTGGCCCGCGGGGTCCCGGTCCTCGATGAGCGTGAAGGCAACAAGTCCCCTGAAGTGCAGCTGACGGCGCTGTGTTCGTGGGCGACGGTGCCGGCAGTGGCATCCGTAGCTTGTACCTTCGCCCGGGGCGTTACGTATGCCTGTACGCCGGCTGGGGCAGCACTTCCCGGTGTTGCGCCATCTTCAAACAGCGGCAACTACTTTGAGGTGACGGTGATGAACCCAGGCGAAAAGACTACCATCGGCATTGGCCTGGCCGACCCCGATGTGTTTCCGGCCACCAAGCAGATGCCCGGGTGGGTCGACCACTCGTACGGTTACCATGGAGACGACGGGCGGTTGTTCGGGCGGGCGAAAACAGATAGCATCTGGCCAACCTGGGTGGACGGTGACGTCATCGGCTGCGGGTTCGATCCAGTTCGAGGCAGCATATGGTGAGAGCGCGGCCTTGTTGTTCGTGGTTTGACGAAGACCAAAGCTTGAGAATTGGTCGTGACCAGAAGTGTGCGTCGAACTCGTTCGTAAGCCATGCTGCTTACACTGCTGTCATTGATATTCAACACAGCACGGTCCATGGTTGAATTAAATGTTCGGGCGCCATAATGCTGTCCAGGTATACTCGAAATGGCGAGCTGCTAGGGGATGGATTCGTTCCAGTTTACGAATCTAACTTGGTCCCGGTGGTAGGGTTTCACAGCAACGGTGAAAGCGTCCGCATCAACTTCGGGGTGGTGCCGTTCGCGTACGAGGTAAGAGTGAGCACTGCAACGCTAAGAACTCGAAGCCTATCATTGTGCACGCCGCATAGAAACCATGCGTGTCGCCTATTGCAAAAAGGCATAGTTGTCGAACGCGCTCTATTGTGGTTGCTAGGATACCGAAGACCCATTTTTTCTTGACATGGCGCATGTCGCACGAGAAACAAGTTCAACACCCTTGCATGGATACCAAGAGACGAACGACTCGACCCGCTTGTGTTCTGTGCAACAGGGTCCTGAGGTAGTCATATCTCCGGCAGTGCTTGCCGAACGCAAACTGTTGCAGCGGGAAGCACAGGATCTCAGTCCCGCAGAGGAAAAGGAAAATAATGTCGACGACGGCGACCAGACCGCCGACGAAGAGAAGACTGAAGGCGCACTAGCAGAAGAGAAAGAACGAAGCCAAATGGATGATGGCACGGCCCCGTGTGAGAGGCACCTCAGGGAGCAAGCCGAAGCTGGTCCAATAGATCATGCGCAAAAGGAGATCACGCCACAGATGATGGTTCCGTCGATGAGAGTGTTGCAAAGAGGTGCTTCTAGCTTACTGCGCTTCCTGGTGGCGGTGAGCATGCGACAGGCCCCCCTGGCGTCTTCGGCGAGGCCGGAAGAGGTGGGTCTGCAAGCCTCTGGCAACGAGGAACCTAGGCAACCCGAGGACACACGTCAGATAGGGAGAGGAGGGCAGGAGCGGTCGAGCCCCAACGTAGACGGTGGAACGGCGGCGGCGGCGGCTTTGCCGCCCACGAGGGAGCGGTCAATGTACGGCACTCCTTTGAAGCAAATGCAGACGCACGTGGACAATCTCCACCAGGTACGTTCTTGCGCCACGTAGATTTGTGTGTATCTCTTGGTTTTGGTGCACCCGGGGTATGATATGAGATCAGAAAATGAGCGTTACAGCGTGTAGTTGAACGATCTTCAATGCTTTCAAATAGACAATCCTGTCAAGAGTTATTGCGATGCAATGAATGCACGGCGCATAGTCCCATGTTTTCAAGGACAGACAAACAGTAGAAACTGGGCACGACCTCTGGAAATGATTCCCGTGCGTTGCGTGGTTAACGCTTCGGGCATGTAGGACGTTTTCGACCTCATCTTTCGTGAGCTTCGTCTGGGAGCTCTGAGCCTTGAGCACATCGTCAGCACGTCGAGCCGCATGGAAGCTAGAGAGTTGGCGAATCAGAACGTCATGGCGTTCGACGGCGACGCGAAGGCACCCTCTGTTGGCAAGCCGCTTGCGGTAGGACGAGCAGTCAAGCCGGAAATGCAGCGTAGCTACAGCCATGGGCACACCCAGGCCGCCGCTGGCAGGTGGAACGGCAGCATCGCATGGAAGGGTTTGGGCGGGACAGCTGGTTTCGGACGCGAAAGAGAGGACGCTTCAGCCCAAACCCTTGGCTTGTTGGCGCTGGAGGTCGGAGAAGTGGAGCCCCACATGTTCAGGCAACTGGCTCTGTTGTGCTCCGTTCGCCAGTACGCCATTGCTCGAACACAGCTGGCGCACCCGTCAGCGCTTCGATCTATTTTTTCGTTGCTCAAGGTTGGATCGCCTCGAATTCAAAGGTGATGCCGCTGCCTGATTGGGTGTGTTTCTGTTTGGCCCTCCAAGTGACATTTACGAACAAAGCTGGCACATCTCGGTCGTCTGGCCTTTGATTGGTGCATTCTACAAAATGTGTTGCACGACATACGGGCAACGATTCAAGTCGCGAACCGCAATCCCGTTGTCGTATCCGCAGATACAGCCTGATATGATTCCCGATTCCGTGTGTTTCCACGTGCGGCAGATGCGTGCTGCTGCTTCTTGGAGCCGTTCTTCCAGGAATGGAGCCCACTGTCGTAGACGACTACCTTCCACAGTGCTGGAGGGGGCGTAGCCAAACAGCGGTCGCTACCAGCAGGTAAGCGCGCCCATGACCTGCCGGGTTTTGCTTCTTTGCGATGTTGTAGGGCTACGGCCCAGCGCTCGTTGTTTTTGTGTCTTCCACACTGAGAAGAATATCGAACGGCTACCTGATTTATGTCTGTTTTCTGTTTTCAACGCCCATTGCCGGATCAACGTTGCACACATCGCATGCACTGCTGTACGCACACAAGCAAATCGTTTTCATTCTTACGTGATGGATGTTTGTTGTTTTGTGTTGATGCCGGAAAGTTGAATGTATGTATGCATGTTTGACTCATGTTTTGCCTTGCATCCGGCTTCGTGCGTGTTTTCACTTGAATGCCTTTGCCATCGGCTATCACAGCACTTCATCGGGGCCTGGGTCGAGGGAGGACCGAGAGGTTATTGGTGTCCGCCAATCATCCTACCCTGCGGATGGTCTTGTAGGAGTGCTCTTCTCCACTGTGAGACATGCCTACTCCACTCCCCCATCTCTACCTGGGAACGCGCCGTCGCATAGTGCCGGAACGGTTGACACAGGAGCAGGAATGCACGTGGGGAATGACTCGGCGAAGGACCTGAGCAGCAGGGGGCAAGGTTGGCTCGCTCCCGGCTGCAACCACGGTTTTGGCGGTGGCACTCTTGATGTATGTCTAGCGGAGCAGTGCAGCTCGCTCCTTCGAGAGTTGTACAAGGTACGGGTGCTATCATGTCGATGAACGTGCCGTCAATGTGTTCGCAATATGTTGGGCTGGTGTCATGTTTCGGCGTCCGACTGAGAACGCGATAGTGAACGGTGTAGCAGCTGCTCCAGATGATTCTGTCTTGGGCGTCTCACCGTTGTATTTGGCGGATGGCGAACTAGAGCTTGAATCATGGCGGTGGTTGCTCTCCCAACCTCGCGAGTTACACGAGTATTAGCGTGTAGTGATCTATTTCCTACTCCCTATGTGGTTGTATCGGCAACAAACGGAACGTCGTTCGTTTCTGAACTTGCTTGGAATCCGCTTTATCGAGCCATGACAAGAAGACCGGTACAACACTGAGACCGAGAAGTACGACACGATGTTTTCAATTGCCAACTCTGCCTGCCCCATGGTTGCGCTTCGTTCGGTAGGAGCCTGCCTGGAAGGAGCGTATCGCGCGGAAGCTGTTGCTAAGCATTCGAACGGCAGCATCTAGCATCCGCACATCATCTGCAAACCCGGACGTGGATGGGCCCCGCACGGACTCCCCGTGTTATTCTCCCACGGGGCAAGCGTTATCGGACGTCATATCGGACGCGGTGGCCGCGCTGGCGATCATCGCTGGTGGCTCCGGTGTCTTGTACCCCGGAGCCAAAGTTCAGTCCAAGTGAGCACAATCGTTCCAGCGCAATTGTTAGCAACATGTTCGATTTGGTGGGGTGTGGATTTCATTTTTTTTTGTGTTTGTGGTTTTTCGGTTGTCCCCAGAAATATTGCGACCGCCCCCTTTGCGATGATGAACTATGGTAATAATACAATGAAAGAACCAGGCAAAAGTCCGACACTAGCAATAAATCAAAAGTTCCTAAACACGGGATTGCAGTACTCTTAATAGTGCTTAATAGTGCTTAGTAGTGCTCAATAGTGCTCAATAGTGCTTCATAGTGCTTAATAGTGCAGATGACTCGCAAGGAAAGTGGAGTCTGCCGCTTTGACTCCGATACACAGTACAGAGACAAAAGCTACGATATCTGCTAGAACCGAGCCTGAAGCAGCTTATCCCCGCACCCTAACCAAGCCAAGGAGTGATCATCGTCAGGTTCCCCGCGTGCTAGACCCATCCCTCCCACGCCCCAGAGGCGTAAGAGAGCTTTCATGGCATGAAAAGAGAAAAGCAAGCACGCATCGCGTACACCCCTTGCTCTACTGGGGGGCTCTGGCTGGTCGGACTTTCGCTAACCAGACACCAACCACCCTCGTCGACCTAGGTTGTCATATGTGCAAATGGCAGGGCAATCAAAACGACCCCTACGGAACTTGGGGGTACTATAGATCATATCGGGCCTGGCGGTCAGACCGAGTTCGTTCAGAAGCAAATCGCACCAGGCAAAGGCCAATCTTGGCGGTCATCGGCGTGAAAAATTACGAAGAGCCTCAGACTTTTCGACTTGTCACTCTTTACATATTCTGCTCCATGAGAGGGTCCGCATATTTTTCCCGCTACGTGAACCAAACTGAAGTCAGGGGTGCAGATGATTTTGTGTTTCAGTGGCTTTCAATGGATGGATAGCTTGGTGATGGTCACGACCTCGACTGGCTCCGCGCCCCTTGGGTTAGTAATCTTGAAGACTCCCTTCTCCCCCCCCTTTGCCTCCTGTGCGTGTAAATTGTGGTTCGAGACAGGTCTGGCGTGCGTGGGACTGTGGTGCTGTTTTCGGCGGGTGATGCAGAAGCTGGAGTTGTGTTCGATGGCGAGAATGTGGAGAATTGCGAGAAGGTCCTGGTTCGAGATCTCGAAACTGCAGGAGTAGGCTTTTGTGCCGACCCAGACACCCCGGCGCAACCTGTTGTGGCGCAGCTTCTTTCCCTGCTCGCTGCCCTGCTTCACTCGAACGAGGTGTCTCAAGCGTTAAAAATTGTCGACGCCCGTGCCATGGTGTGGTTGAGGGTGCTGTCACAATGCCTGATGGCCGTTCTGCAGCTATCTGTGCAATGCAGTGACGCCTTGGTTGCGGCATGTCGAGAGGGCGATGTGGTCGCCAACGTTCTACCCCATTTGCTCGAGGTGGCGGTGTGCCCTGTTCAACTTCCCGCCCTCATCACGGCACAGGTGCAAATTCTTCTCGTTGGCCATGCGAATATGCCCATTTGTGCAGACTAACCTCGGGGGGGGGGGGAGCTCAGCTGCGCTGGCTACACCGGCTGGAGCACCCTAGCACTCTCGTACTGGTGGCTTTTTTTCAACATCACTCTTGTGTGCGCTGTGAGCCCGTCTCAGATAGCAACCCTTTTAATCGTTTCTAGACTGCAACTTTGCTTACCAATGCCAACCCGAAGTTTCTAGTGTTTTGTTTGTCCGAATGACTGAGGCCGTGCTTTTTGTAGTGTTGTAGCGCGAACTGCTTGTCCCTCGAGGCGTGATGTGGTCCTCCACCCCCCCCGAGCCCCCAGCACCCAACACACACACGCTGACCTCCTCCCATGAGCTGACGAAGTCTACGCTGACCGGCGATGATATTTGGTGCATTATGGGATGGGTATCCAGGATTTCGAAGGGCGATGGCGTTCGGCGCAAACCAGGATGCTTTCGGCCCTGCGCCTGGGACATGGCGGTCTTCGCACACTGCGGCCCATCCAGCGACATCCACTGCCACCGCCTCCTGAAGCGCCCACCACGAGCGTGGAGAGCCGCGACAAAGCGATTGCACCGACGGGGCGCCCTGCCCATTCCCCCGCGGATGGTCGGGATGCGTTGTCCGCCGAGGAGTCGAGAGAAGAGGCCCTGTTGCACCCGCGTCGACAGATCGAGTACAGCGACCCTATCCTGGAAGTGGCGCGATCGGCTCGAAGTGGTGGACGGGGTCGGCTTATGACTCTGGGGGACCCAAGCCCGCATAGAGGATGGGGGCGGGGCTGGGGGTCCGGTATGTCCGGCAGGCGTATGGTGGGGGTGCGCGGGGCTCTGGACTGGGCAGGGCGAGTGACGAGGGATGAGGACGATTCACGGCGCGAGGGAAGCCGTCGACGGCTGATGAGGAGCGACTTGAGCCACCGAATGGCTGCCCGAGGTAGACGTGCAGCATCCGCAGAGTCCCGGTTAGACACTCGAAGGGCCGCCGCGAGGGGTTTGCTCGACTACGACGGCTTGGAAGGCTTTGCGGAGTATAGGGAGGACGAGTCGGGCGCGTTTTTGGTAGAGTTCAACGACGGCGCCGATGGCGAAGAGACGGAAGGAAGAGAGGCCCCCGGCCTCGAAGGGGGCAGCGCTGCAAGCGCAGACAGTGGCGATACTAGCCAGGATGGAGACGAAACGGTGAGACCCTGCCTTAACCACATTTTTATGTGCCCACGGTAATTTTGCCTGTTAAATCATTTGCTTCGCGGTCTGTCGTTTTTGGTGGCACTCACTGAGAACATGAGCTACGAAGCTCGGTGGTACCGACTCGAATGTATTTTTTCGAAGGAACGCGTTGGGATTCTTTTGAAACAGTGCCGAGTTGTGAGCGAGTCCTGCATGTCGAGTTGTCGGCAATGAACCTAGCTTGAGAACTGTACTGCATAGCAGCTGCAGGACGTGGCTGGCCCTACAGTATGCATACCCGTCCCCTGGCCACTACACGGTTCGGAAAGGCCTCCAGCGTGCCTGCATAGTTGCTTAGATAGAGCCCATGTTTTATTGTTGGTTCGTTATCGAGACGAAACCGGGCAAGCAACCTTCTGGTCATGTAATTTAACTTTCGAGGTTCACCTTCGAAAACACTCTTAGCAGGAGAACAGCACAAGCAACGTGGACAATCGTGGCTGCGTCTTGAGCACGGATGAAGCCACCGATTCTGAACGGATACCCCGCCCGAGGCCGGAACCTCCACGTGGCGCTCCTAGCGAGGGGAGGAGCGCACCTGCCTTAGCGCAATGTGGAGAACAGCACGCGGTGGGGTCGAGACCAACACCAGGATCTGCGGGTTTCTCTATCACTCACCTGCTCGAGTTCGGCACTGAGGCTCGCGCAGAGAGACATGAGCTCAGTGCCCATTTGTCCTCGGAAGTCGGAGTCCCTGGCGAAATGGCCCTGTCCGCTCTAGAAGCGTTTGGTGCGGATACCGACAAAGCCCGCATGTGGCTGCAGAATTCGCAGCACCCCGCACAGGTGCGTTTGGGGCAGGCGCTGTTTGTGGTTGCTCTTGGTGTCAGGATATCCTCATGTTTCGATGCTTAAATATTCACTCATGCGGGCTTACCTACTGCGTGGCGTGTCGACGTTCTCATAGTGCTCACGGTTTTATCTCTTGGCGATTTGGCAGCTGACTGGCAGTGAGGGCAAGGTGTCGGCAAAGTCATCCTCTCTTCCTTCAGGGGCTAGTGAGAACGGTACTTTCGGGGCATCAGACACGACGACCGAGGACAACATTGTCAGCGGCCTCATTGGGGCGGATGAATCAGGGCCTCCAAGGGGTGGTGGTGAAGCGGCAAGCGTCCCGTCAGCTGACGAAGGGCTCAACCTATGGGAGTCGGAAGGAGGAGTCCAAGAGGCAACAACGCCTTGTGATATGATATCAATGCAGGTGATGGCAACCTCCGAACGGTGGGCTTTGATACGCTTGTTTGGTGCAACTCCACGCTTTTTGTCAGCCAATAGGTTTCGGCCTTTCAAATTCGTTATGCACCAATCATCAGCGAGTGCCATGATACATATACTGATGTAGCGCTTTGTTCCGCTCCTGTTTCGATACGCGTGCGGTCCATGGGTTGATTTGTCATTCATTAATGTAACTCATAGTCGATCCCGGTATGTTTGTTCTTGATGCTGAGCGATTGTGCGATTAGGTGTCCTAGACGTTTATCACTGCCACTTGTCATGTACTTGCTTTGTGTACACTGGTGCAGTCTATATTTGAGATCCGTCGACGTACACCTTCCAGTGTTTGGAGCATCAAAATGACGGCTTGATGGCTATCGTCACTCTGTCATCGTTTCCCCGTTTTCAGTGCGCTGGTCTCCTTTGCGAGCATGATCTTGTGCCTGTCTTGGGCCTGCCCCGCCCACCGACCGAGATTGGGGGCACAACAGGTACTGCTGTGACGACCAGTAGCCTGGTGAGAGAGGTAGATCTCCTTGAGCCTGGCAGTTTGCTAATGGTGACGGCGGGTGAGGGCTATGCTCCTGACAAGTCGTGCCCTTGCGTGACCGTCGCAAGTGAAATGGACTTTTCGGTGGGGTCGGGACGAACGGGTGGGGTTACTCGGGACAAGGCCAGCGCAGGCGACATGGACGCTCGCCGTGGGGGCGAATGCCGTGCGGAAGGAGCAAGTGTCACTAGGCCCTCTAAGAGTAAGACTGTTGAAGCCAATGGGTGGTCGCCTCCACAAGCGGCGAATGCTTCCGTGGTGGACAACGATGAAGTGCTGGTGGAGATGATGGACACTGAAACGGGGCTGTGCCTCGGGAAACGGGTACCCGTAGGGGACCTGAGACATTCCACTTCTTTTTTCGGACGGGAGCTGGACAGCGGAGGGAATACTGTGAAACAGGTATGTATCTGGGACAGCAGTCGTGTGCACGTCATATTTTCACCATTCCTCCTGGTGTTGTAACCCCCCCCCCCCGATGTTTGCCATCGGGGTTGGGTTTTCGTCGCTTGGCAACGACGGTGTAAAACAAACCAATTCACTTCGTGAACTCGGCAACCAGGTAATTTTTTTTTTTTTTGCCTTTTTTTTTTGGCGGTAACCATAATGGTGGTCGAGTAGATCATGTTGTGCGGGGTGGAGAACCCTCACTCCGCGCAAGGGGGATGATCGCACCACGTTGTGTTAAAATGGTCAAGCACCCTCGAGGCAGTTACCCAGTGCTTACAACGGTCTCTGGAAGTGAAGCACCAAAAAATAAATGAAGTCATACGCAGCTGTCATCCGTTTGCAAGGAAGTAAGCACAAGATGCCGAACACCCTTAGCAGGATGCAGCGTACCCTTCATGCGACTCGCCGAAAATCTCACGGCGCTTCGCGCTTGGTGATGTGAGAGCCTGGTCCGGTGAGAACCCGGCGTGCTCCGTCCCGGCTTTGTGGGATGCGAGGTCAATGGTCTAACGACTACGGCATGCACGACTATGAGGACACCCCCCCTCCTGGTGTTGCGTATTGCACGGGGCAAACGCCCCTGGTGACAATTCCCCTTGGTGTAAAGCACGAACATCGACCCCGAAACATGGTGTGAAACGTCCCTGGGCGGTTGGTCTCGCTTCAGAGCACGGAGCAGGATGTGTTGGGATTCAGAATAGGTATTACGTGTTGCCGGCCGATGGGAAGTCTTTTCGTGCCCATTTCTGCCCTGTCCCTGGGGGGGATTCCCCCCCGTTTTTGTTAGGTATTTGACCGCCGATTGCGGGTGTTTGAAGTGCCCACTGCTGTGTTTCGCACGGTATCTTGTTCTCAGGCTAACGCTTGAATCTCGGAACAATTGACGATAGCAAGCGTATTAAGGTGTGTGTGCGGATGTTATTTGTGGAGATATCTCGTGCCACCTGATGTCAGATTCGTTTTGTGCAGCACGGCGCATCCCCATTATGCACCCCGACCTCTCCACGGCCATACTGACATGCTGACTGCCTTGCGCACCTTGCTGCAGTTACTGGGCGATACAGACAAGGCCCTCGCTACGCTTCGAGCGAGAAGCCTTTTGGTGCGTCTTATCCAGAGCATCCCTACACCAGCAGTTTCAGCAGCGGGTGGGCCGCATGGGCTCCTCAACATCACGCGCCTGCTTGCCGCTCAAGACTTGGCGAAAGGCAAGGCTCCAGCGTCATTCGGAAGCGTGTCTGATGACGGTGGGAATGACGCTGACCAAGCGTCGATGGGGTCAGTCGCTGGTGACCAAGACGGCGACCCCGTGCTGCCGCGACGCTCCAGCAAGCTTGTATACAAGCGGCCATCAGATCAGGGTTCCTTGCTAAAGGTGACGCTCACAGAGCTAGCGGGTCGAGTTCCGACATGTATTGACTAGAATTATTACTGGTAATGTGGTAGATACCTGCTGTTTGCGTTTGCCTACCTGCACGAACGCTCCACCCGGCTACAGCAGTGGTCCTGGTGTAGTGCCTACGGCTTTGACCTCAATGAATGTGTACTGTAAATGTGTAACCCCTCCGAGGCCGGCTTTTGACGTCCTCTGTCTGTCCTCGCTCTTTTTTACGTGTTCGCGTTGAAGATGCTGTGGCGCAAGGTGATGGACTCACCCGAGCAATGGATCTCCGGTGAGGAGCAAGGAACTGGAAGTGCGGTCCTGGGCGAAATGCTGGCGCAGGAGGTGTTGGACTCATTCAACGCTTTGACTAACACATCGCAGGTCATGATCAGCGGGGGCTGGCCTCCCCGTGCAAACTCCGAAACCCACGGCTCGCCACCGACAGGGAAAACGACGAAGAATGAGAGTGGTGGTGCAGCAGCAATTGAGGAGGGGGCACTTGCAACAGAGAGCATCACCCACGAATCTCTCCACCCGCTATGTACACCCTTGTCGTACGGAGGGCACATCAAAGTGGACCCACAGTGTCTGGGCATGGTCATCAAGCTAGACTCCCGCAGCCGTACTCCATCTGACCTCGTCCGTCTTCGATTCTTCTCGTCGAAGGAAGACATGCTCAACGAGCGCGACCCAATCCGTGTCATGTACGGACACGCGGTGGAGCGTGCAGCTCGCGCGAAGGCGAAGGGAATGGAGTTCTTCAAGATCGAGGAGGCAGACAGCACCTGTTATGAGCCGGCCTCTCCTAGCGCAAAGGAGCTGCTGTCTTTGAGCGCTTTGGCTCGTCTCACGCCTCCGCTGCCACCGCCGCTGCCGTTGCAACTGCCGCCACAGCAACTGCCAACGCCGCCGCCGCCGGTGCCGCCTGCCTCGGTACCACAGCATGAGCGAGCATCTAGCATCGGTCCTGACAGCTCGCCTGGACCGTCTGGTTCTTCCCGGCGGCATGTGCTCACATCCCGAGCCATGACGAGAGCGATGTGTGAGGCACACAGCCAGATGATGGTTAGGCGGAAGACGCCGTCGAAGGGAACTCCCGCGCCAACTAACCTAGGGAGTTCGTTCCGGTCGTTCGCGCTGCCGGGGGTTCATGAGCTATGGTTCCGCTTCGACGCTCCTCCCGGGGCCGAGAAGCCACTCATCCAGGTCGCATCTATGTTTGGGTCACTCGCCCCTGCCACACCAGGCGTGGTGAGAGCTAGCGCGAGTCCCGACACCCCCAGCACAGCCGCAGCCACAGCCACAGCCGCAGCCCCAGCCGCATGCTGTGGCCGCGACGAACACTTGAGCCAGGAAGAACTGGGACTACAGACGCTTTTTACTTGTGTAGGGGAGGAACAGGAACGTGGTGATGGCTCGTCTTCTCCAGCCCACGTTAAGGATGGCTCAAGGTCGAGCGAGTCTCGAAGGCAAGGCACTGCGGAACTACCCGGGTGTCTCGCGACGGCTGCCGACATGTGCCTTACCAGTGGCAGGTGGTTTTACGAAGCCACCGTCGGGTCTTTGGTCGGATCTACGCCCGACGGGGATGACGCGGACGACGGCCTTGTTCGCGTCGGTTGGGCTCACGTGGATCTACCCGTGTCGCTCCGAGCCGGGGATGTCTGGGAGGTGGGTAATTCGAGCTCGGTGGGGAAACCTAGCGACATGGGAATGGAAGGTGTCATGGAAGCCCGCGCTTCTTCCGAAGCTCTGGAGGGAGCGGGGCAGGTGCAAAGTCCAACTCAAGTACAGGCTGGAGGACATGTGCCGAGTCCACTGATGCGCACGGTTTCGTGGCTCAGTGAATCAGTGGAAAGCTCACTTTCGGCACCGGAGGACGAATCCAAGCGCTCAGACACGCGCGAGGAAGTGCCACGGTCGACCACTGGTAGCCCAGAGGGAGCCTCCGCGTCGTCAGCCACAGCCGACAACGACGAGCGCCTGAGGAAGAAGGCAAAGTGGAAGGGCGTGACGTTCCCGATTCTTGGTTCGGACGCGAACAACCTTGGAGTAGGGCTCGGACAAGAGGGAGGTGTTTGGCTTGGTGGCCATCCAAGGGCGCAGAAGGCTGCCGGCTTCTCCTCGTCGGACGTGCTTGGGTGTGCGATTGATGTCGATTCTGGCGCGGTGTGGTTCTCGGTAAATGGGCGATGGGCAGGGGGAAACCTCGGTGAGCAAGAGAGTGCGGTCATGCTGAAAAAGCACGGGTGGGGGCATGGCGGCGGCCTCAGCAATGGCATCACTCCGTGTTTTTCGGTGCGCGGCGAGTCGTATGTGTCTGTAAACTTCGGAACAAAGCCGTTCAAGTTCCCCCCTCCAGAGCAGGAGTTTTTACCAGTGATCCTTCGCGACGAGCACGGGGCCGAGCAGGAGATTGCCGGTGAGATCATGCGTGTTGAGTCCTCGAGGCTCTGTCAGTTAGTTGGTCTGAGGGCACTCTACGATGGTTGTTTCTGTTGCATCCTTCGGCCTATCTGCAGGAATCGCCATGCCCACACAATCGTTGTGCTACTGCCACTTTCTATGCGTTTTGTTGTAGCCGTACTTTTGCGCCCGCCCGATGAACCCAGGTAACTGTTGCACCCCTCCCGATTTTCCGAAGTTTATCTTGGCATTCTCTGCCTGCTCCCGCCCTGTACTTGTTCGTGTGTGTACTGGATGCCTTCAACCTCAGCCCTGACAGGAGCGGCATCAACACAAACGGGTGACAAGAGAGTCACCTTCGCTCCTGAGGCGAAACTGAGCTCCGCAGCGAGCGGGTCCGTGCCAGATGATTGGGGTTTTCGTTTTGTGGTGGACCCTCTGCGCGGGGTTCACTACAGGGTGGTGAGGGACCTGGAACTGATTTGCCGCTTTAGTGGACGTGCGAGGAGCGGTAATCCTCGTTCAGCAAACTCGACGTTTGGGCCACAGGTAGGTTTTGTTTTGCCTGTGTTTGTGTTTCATGATCCAAGATGTGCCGCACCGGTGAACCGCTTTTGCCGCCTGCAATGTACCTACCATCCCTCCTGAGCATTTTGTTTCTTGATTTCCCTGACTCTGGATCGCTGCACAGACGATATCTATCTGGCGGCCCAAGGCACCGCCGGGATGGTTCAGCGTCGGCGACGTGGCGAGTCGCGGGCTATCTCCCCCACCGGGAGCCGTCGTTGTCCGGGCGGACGCGACCGGTTGTATGGTGTCCAAGCCTGCGAAGTTCCGCGTGGTCCATCAAGACAAAGCGACCGGCTTCGTTGTGTGGAGACCTGTAGCGCGACAAGGGCAGGTGTGTTGGTGTTTGGGCTGACAAACACGCACATGTGGTTGGTAGGTACAGCAGTTGATCTTTGTCTTGTATGTTCAAAACTAAAAATCCCTGCGGTTACTATCCATTGTTGTTTTGCCGATGAGTGTCTTTGGACACATTGACCAAATTTGAGTGCATTGCTTCGTGCGGGGACGTCTAGGGCGAGAAGAGTAGAGTTGATGCTCCCCTATACTAGTCGACGTACACTGGTGTGCTGTGGGCAACCTCTCATACTCGTATTCTCGGTTTGTCACGCCACATGTATGTATGAATGGCTTATCTGCCTGCGGTGCTTACTCTTATGTTACTACCGTCAGGTATCTCTCGGAGACTTTGCGTGCGCCAAAAAGGCGAGCAAGGGGATTATGGCCGGCGCGGTACGCTGTGTGGCGGCCTGGGCGGTAGAAGCTTGCCCTGTGGTGGAGTGCCTTTGGCGAGAGGAGAAACAGTCCGGTACCCACGTGAGAGCACTCATGCACGTGAAGTCATATCCGCACAAGGTTCACGTTACTGTCTGCGTCAAGATGACTCATTGATCACCCTATGCGACGGAGTAATGCACACTGTACGATCATAGCTGAAGTGACTGCCTGGCATACCCTACCACGTCGGTGACAACGGCGAGGCTAGGGCGACCCTCTGCCCGCAATGGAGATGGATGACTCGAGCTTTGTGTGAGTTTGCTTCAGACCGAGATCTCTACACCAGCAATGAAAATGAAAACCCATTTCACGCCCGATTCGCAGACTCGAAGATTTGACTTGGAAATCCATCCCTCTTTTGTCAACACGGGCTCGCTCGCAGGCAATCTGGTCTGCACAGAATGGTCTCGGGACGTTCTTCGGGTCTCAGACTGGCGGCCGCATGGGGAAGGAGGTCCCACAAGGGCCACACTCGCGGGTAGAACGGCAGAAGCGCAAGAAGAAGAAGAAAAAGAAGAAGAAAGGGGGGTAAGTCAACGCAGTTCCACTGCCATGGTTGGCGCGTGACCCCCCCCTTGTCCCCTTGTCGCCCCTTTATCGAGACCATTTCCACACACACCTTGTGCCAAGGGTTGACAACGAAACAACACGACGCAGTGCCTGCGCATAAGAGGGGGTATGTAGCGGTGCATGTTGTCCGTTCATCTGTAGCTGCAAGTCATATCGTCGTACCTGGTGGAAAGAGCAACGATAATATGTTGGACGGAAGAGCAGGAAATGTTGGCCTATGCTTGTCAAGCAAGACTGACTACCGTTGAAGCCGTGAACCCCAGCTAAGTGCACATACACTACACATGTGTTGATGTTTTGTTCGGGTAGCAGCGGCGGGGAGGAAAGCTCGGAGGAAGACGAAGGTGAGCGCATGAAGCTTCAGCCTGGCGTTGGCAAAGGCTGGGCGCTCAAGGGCGTGTCCGCCTCGTGCATCACAAACGAATGGTGTCAGGAGTCGGACGTCATATCTGGCCCAGCACCTCAGGGCTCGTCTGTCGTGCCTCCCATACCGGCCCCAGTACCATCTCCACCACCTCCTCCACCGTCGTCGGGGGTGACGAGTCCGGTCCAGCTTGAGGAGCGAACAGCTGACGACGACGAAGAGGCAGCCGTGGCAGACATTGTGGCAGACACGGTTCGCAAGCCGCAACCGTCGGTATCGTGGGCTTCTTGGCTCCTATCGTTTCTTCTCGGTCACCCGCCTCTCCGGCGGCTGGCGATGCGAGGGGCTCTCTTCCGGACCTTGGTGGCCTACCTACGCTCCCCCGGTGCTCCCCACCGGCTGCGCATGGTACCTCTCTTGACCCTTCTCGTGCGATCTCACGCAGAGTTCGCAGACAGCCCACCCCCACTCGAGGAGCTTTCTGGGCTCCTGGCTGCGGTATTGCGGGAGTGCGATAGGTTGACATACGGTCGAGGCCCTCGGAGTGCCGCGTGGAGATCAGGCGACTGCCCCGGCGGGGTGCAGCTAGAGACGAGCTGGGCAAACGAGGGTCTGCTGCTTCTGACGGACCTCGCGATAGCAACGCGGCAGGCGCAGGATGCCATCACGCAGCGCTCTTTGACGCAACTTCCTCCTTCGGAGACGGAAGGAAAGGAGTGCTTGGAGACAACAACGCCGACGCCAGAGCACGTAGATGCTGTTGTTGTCGCGGGCGAAGACGGCCCGAAGAAGGAGGAGGAGGAGGAGGAGGAGGAGAAGGAGGAGGAGAAGGAGGAGGAAAGTGGTATAAGAATATCTCTCCCACCCTTCGGGACTCGCCCCGAAGAGGGCCCGGTGGAAGAAGCAGGTCAGGACGAGGCGGAGGAGGTGGGGAGTACAGAACGGGATCTCGGTGATCGGATACTGGTCAGCGCAAGATCTCTAGGTGCGGAAGACCGGGCGCGACTGGAGGTGGATCTGCGAAACTCTGTCTTGCCCGACCTGACAACTTTCGCACCACCTGTCGCGGCGGGTACTTCGGCACCTGTCGACCCTTCGCTGCAGGGCGCAGAAGCGACTGCAGAAACACCGTCTCGTTGCTTGCAACACCTGCTCGAGATCATGGACACCTTACGCGCTCTTCGCGACGGCTGGCCTTCCTCACCGGACGTGGCGGCCACGTCTGGTGGAGTTGGAGCGGGAGACGGGCCCCTTCATCTGGATGCTATCTTGTGCGAGGCCTGGATGGATGCCGTGGGCCCTGCGGTTGTCGTGGAATCGGACCATCCATTTCGAAAGGGGACGTACTCTGAGACGCTGCACCTGCCCGGGGCAGAGGAGATGGTCGTTTTTCTAGACCCGCGCAGCTCCATGCAAGAGGTAAGAGAGTAGACACAAGCACATCGCAAATAATCACTCACGCACGCACGCACGCACGCACGCACGCACGCACGCACGCACGCACGCACGGGTACAGCACTTTCTTTGCCCAGGCGTTGCATTCGGTTCCAAAGGCAGACAGCTCGTAACGCCACGCATGTGTGCAGCGTGCTTGCTTGGTACGAAAGGCCACACGTCTCACTTGTCTTGGCACGACAGCCAGCAAAATACACTTGGCGTCCCCGTCGCTGGTCTTGTTGCAGGGCACGGCAAGTCTTGTGCTGGAGGGCAAGGACAACATGATCTCCCTTACCGGACAGCAGGAAGCCCCTTGGGGTGACGTCATCATATTTCGTGGCGATTCGATCACTTACCGCTTTCTGGCTCAAGCTGATGGAGAGGCTGCAGTTGCGAACTCTTTGGTGACGGGCGATCCGGAGGTAGACGACTGGGGATTCCGTTTCACGGTGAGGGAGGGCTGCCTGCAACCTCGCAAGCTGGCTTAGAAAACATCAACTATGCGGCACTGTCGCCTTGTACTATCGTAGCCTTTGCACTGCTGTTGCTGCTGCGATATTGTTATTGCGCTGAGAGTGTCATTTTCTTCCATGCGTGTGAACAATCTGGGGCAGGAATACGGTTGTCCCCCCCTCTCTCCGCCTCCCCCCCTCCTCCCCTCCCCGGGGGAGGCCGAGGCCCGCAAGTGCAGTTAACCCTCGAAAAACCACCCAACAACGACGGATATACGGTCCCTAGCACCGTGTAGGAGAGGATCCTGAGTTTGGCGGTCGGGAGTTACCGCGGTCACGAGATCGCGGTAGATCGCGATAAGCCAACTTGGAGACAGCTGCCGATGGGTTTGAACCCAAATGCCCCGGCTTGGACGCCGGGGCAAGGCAGCAGTGGAGAGCACGGAGAGGGTGGCGGGATGATCGCACACCGTGTGGGTAAGCACCCAACAGGGGGACGGAAAGGGTCCAGAGCTGGAGAGCCACGCCGCTCCGGGACAGGAAGACACCTCGCTGGGAAAGGCAAGCACCGGGTTAACTCTTACATTAACCCGAGGATCCGCAGAGCAAT